TTCCCCGTGGGATAGAACACGAGCAATACAAACCAGGATCTGTCTGCAGCAGACTGTAACACTCCTAACTTCCTGCTGCTTTAAGTCATTCTTTGTTGAAGCGTCTGGAGAAATAAATCCAATCAGGACTTGATTACCTTTGTAATTAATAAGATCAAATATACTCTTTCACTTTAGTAATGAACAAATGAAAAGGGAGCATAAATTAATAGACTTCTTTGTTTCATATATCAAAACTATAACATTATTTTTCTTTCTTTCTTCACAGCACTGAATTAACCCTACTTCTCTTGGCTTTTGCAAAACGTTGGCATCAAATAAACAGCAACAGGTCAGTGACAGGGAATACAAATTAGCTTCCATTTCTAAGTGCTATTGTTCTTACTCATGATTCTGGCAAATACTGGGAAAATTAAATGCAGTGTTCCAAAACACTCTCTGAGAATTGTCAGATATTCTGCTGATACCAGATTAAGGAATGTTAAACAGTTATCTTTTGCAGATTACTTATCTTGAATTTGGGAAGGGGGGGGGATGATGGTGCTGACTAGTTCTCTATTGAATTTTTATTGTTAAATTCTAACAGAAGAATTTGCCAGTTTTATTTGTAGAGGCCCGTGGTGACTTACAGCACTATAAAAACAGAGCAGGTGTTCACTCTGCCAGAACAACTGCTAATGGCCTGTGGGTCTGGGAAGCCTCTCTCCTCTGCTTTTCAAACTACAGGAGATCATAACAGTGCCTTCAACAATGTCCAGCAAAGATGTAGCTGATGATTTGCATCATTAAAATAAGCCATGGCAGTAATGAACATTTGTAAAACCCCACTAAACGCCACAAAGAGGGGGCCCTTGTTGTAAGCTCTTACAAACAGAAACATGGGAAATATGAGTTTCCTTATTAATTACTCAACCTTTGAGCAACCACACAGTTCATCTACAAAAGCTGTCCCCATAGTTATCAATGGGACACGATGGCTTAAATCTGTCTCCAGTTAGTGTAGAAGAAATCTAACCAGTTAATTACCTCATAGATTTATCTGTGTAGTAACAGAGTAGAGTTGAGCTGATTTATGAGACCCTGATATTTACACGCATCCCAAATTCCATTTAATGTTCTGTCTTTAATTTTGTAATTCCTGTCTTTCAGGTGTTTGGGATCATTACGAATTCTTGCCATGTTTTCTGTCGCACGTTTTCAATCCTCACTAAGATGGAAATAGTATTTTGTCTGGTTATTTAATTACATATATTAAATACTTCTATTGTATTGTGCTTTGGAATTAAGAGCCAAGCTGAGTGCCTGTTAACACACCCATGTGTATCATGGAGAAGGGAATGCTGCAGCACAGCCAAAGGGAGGTGTGCACTGAGTGAAAATACTTCTGATGCCCATAAAACAGAATCAAAAGCAGTGGTTCTGCTGAATAATAAATCATGTCTGGATGTGAGTTAGAACTGTGCCACAGCTGGTGTCCACATGGACTGTTATTTTTAGAGGCTTTTATGTACCTGATGAAGGCACCTGTGATTGACTTGTCATTATAGGAAAGCATGTGTCCCATACAGAAATTAAATTTGTATAAAAAGTGTCCACTCCTGAGAAAGGGAAAGAGTGAAGGATAATGGCATTCTGAGGTGTTTTCATGTGGTGGATGTGTCAGTGGGGTTCTGCCCTCAGAAGGTCAACACATTTGCACATTGCTTTTTCCACATACAATCCTCTGAATTGTGTTTGTTACCCAAAGTGTTTGATCAAAAAATGCACTTTTGGAGACTTTCAGTGATGGAGGGAGTGATAAGGACTACAGAGATGGCATTTTAATCTTGTGGAAAAAACTAAGAAGGAGAAGCATGAGGAGAGCTCCTGAATGGTGGAGAAAGGTGTAGGAATGGAAGAAACCAAAAATGAGAAATGATCGTGAATACTTCTGTAGCATTCACCAGTCCTGTTGAAGACAATCAGAACTGCCTAAAGTTCAGGCAGTTCCAGATGAGACAGACAGTGGCAGAGGAAGTTCTTAGCAGTGCAGAATAGTGGGAGGTGGGGTGTTGGGTGTCTCAAGTGTTATGGAATATCCCACAAAACATAGGAATTCTTTTTGGAGCAAGTACCATCTCCCTGTAGATGGTGTTATTCCCTGCAGTGCCTTTGTTGTCACCTCCTCAATCCTAAACACAGGGTCCCCTCCAACAGATGGATTGCAGAGTCCAGGCCAGCATCTTCAGAGCAATTTTTGGCGTCATTACGGTGCTTACAGCAGTGATGGCCTGTCATCCCCCAGACAGGGCTCTCTCCTCTTACCCAAACAAACCCCACTCAGAGGAACGGGGTTGTATTGTAGGGCTGGAGACAGTGTTTCTGAGTCCCCATTATCCTCGTTCCTGTTGAGATATTAATGGTGCCATCCTTTTTGGGCTGGAGCCAGTGCACCAACTGCCATTCCCTGCAGTATTCCTGTGAGTGACCAGCATGATTGATGGGTGTCAGCTCACAGCTCTGGAAAGGGTATTACAATAGGAGGGAGACGTCTGAGGATAATTAGAAAAGAGCAAGCTGTCCTACCTGTCATAAATGTCAGCAAACTGTGAATCAATTTGCAATTCTGCTACAGAGAACATTATCATTTCTACATTTTACTACTGACATTGTACAAGACAAATACCAGAAGGTCTTCAGTTTTACTGGTTTTTAAAAATAACTTCCATCTTGTCGTAATTTTTTTCCCAACCGCATTTATATGTGCTTGACAAGGGTTGGGCTCCATACAACTGATGTGTAGCTAATATATGAGACTAATAATTGCACAGCCCAATAGCAGTTGGCTTATATACAGGTGTAAGAGTTCAGATAGTTGCTCTGGCAGCACACTGGTTTATCTATGCCTGTGCAACCTGGGACCAGTGAATAATGTATTTGCTGTCACCCTGGTAGTCCCTCTTTGGTAGTGTTAGTTGTGCTGCCTGTCAGAAACACCCCTGAAATAATGGTGCTGTTTGTACTGACTGTTCTGGACAAACCCTCTCTGTTCAGGCTGCCTCCAGATGCTCACAAAGTTATGTTTCCTCAACAGTTGTTGAACAGTGCTGAGTGTTGGCTTGGGCTTTCACCACAAGTGTGTGCAGCTTCATGCATTCTTTTTTAAGGACCAGAAATATTAATTGTCTGGGCAAAAAAAAAGGATTATTGGGTGAGGTTTAGGTTGGATATCAGGGAAAAGTTTTCCCCAGCGGGTGTTTGGGCACTGAACAGGCTCCTCAGGGCAGTGGGTACAGCACCAAGGCTGACAGAGCTCAGGGAGTGTTTGGATGATCCTCTCAGGCACAGGGTATGACTATTGGGGAGGGTCCTGTGCAGGGCCAGGAGCTGGACTCGATGATCCTTGTGGGTCCCTTCCAACTCAGGATATTCTGTGATTCTGTGAAAAGTCATCTCCCACACATTCCTGTCTTATCCTGTCCCCAGCAATTAGTGCTTTATCAAAAGGTTAATTCCAGATCTCTTGAGATGGGAAGTCTGAGTGTTTCGTCTGAGGATCGAGTTGAGACCTTGAAGGGCTGGGTAGGTCTAAGGATTGCAAGGTTGACTTGCAGCCCTCAGCTGAGGATGGAGGGGCAGTTGGAAAGCTCTCTGCCCTACAATCCTATCTAAGCTTGCTGTGATCAACTGTTATGGTTCTGCAAAATTCAGTACAGTTCCAATTTCCAGAGAAGTTTCATGGGTTTGCTTGCTCTGGGCAAACACAAGCTATTGGAAAAGCAGCACTTTCAGGAGCTGTTACCACATTGCCAGGACTATTGTCCAGCTGCCCTGCTTGGCTACTGCCACCCTTGGAGGGCTGTTTAATCCATCCTCCCACCTGGGTTAAAAAGTTCTTTAGATAACAAACAGATTTCTCACAGGACCTGGAGGGTTTTCTCAACAGTGAGATTTGTCTTTTTAAAAAATACTGTAAAAACTGGACGGAACTTTCCGGACGGGGTCAGTCGGTCCCAGCTCCTGCACCGTAAGCCATCAGTTCGTGCGTGTGTGTCTGAAACCAGTGTGGAGCGAAGCGGCAGCGGGTCGTGCCCACAGGACTCCGCTTATTTATTTATTTATCCGTGTCATTTGTTTTTAATCGCAGTGGGCACTGCAGAGCTCTTCCCCCTGAGGGGAACCCTCAAACCGGACCTGTGAGGGAGGGGGCGGGGCCATGGCGGCGGTGGGGGTCACGTGATGCCCCCCGCGCACGTGACGGGGCGCCCGCCCGCGCGCGGAAAGTGACGTCACGCGGTCGGTGCGCAGTTTCTGCGGGGCGGCTCCGCCCCCCTCCCGTCCATCTCGGGGCCGCGCACGCACGGCCGCGCCTGCGCACGCGCGTCCTCCCGCCCGGGCACGCGCACGCGCACGCCCGGCCGCAGCCAGCGCCCGCCGCGCCGCCCGCCCGGAGCCCGCACGGTGAGCGGGACGGGGGGAGCGGGGAGCGGGGCCGGGACTGCGGGAGCGGGGAGTGCGGGAGCGGGGCCTCTCGGGGCAGTGCGGGGCCGGCCCGGCCCGCGGGCGGAGCGGAGCGGAGCGCAGCGCTCGGGGCCGGGAGCGGGGGCCCCGGGGCCGCCGCCCCTCAGCCATCCGGGCGGGCCCCGCTCCCTCAGCCCGGCCCGGCGCTGGCGGCAGGCCCGGCCCGCAGCGCTCGGCCCGGCCAGGGCCCCGCGGCGCGGCCCGGCCGGAACAGGTGCCGGGCGGCCCGGGCAGGCCCCGCGGCGCTCGGCGGTGCCCGGAGCGCGGCGGTGCCGCCGGCCGGTGATCGGGGATCGGTGCCGGCGCCCGGCGGTGGCTCGCTGGAATTGCGGCGGCGTCATGAGGGCTCCGCCGGCCGCGCTCGCGGTCGGTGCCGTCGGTGTGTGCGGGGCCGGCAGCGCGACCTGCCCGACCCCTCCGTGCCCCTGAGCGGGGCAGCGGCCCGGCTGCGGCCCCGGGCTGTCTGCGAGGAGCGGTGAGCCAGAACGGAGAGAGACACAAACCGGGCCTGCTGCGCTTTTCTAGATCGCTTGGAGCCGAGTAAACACCGCGCGAATGGTGAAATCGGTGCTCTGAGAAAGGTAAAAGTGCGGGTTTGGTGAGGGGAGCACAGAGCGAAAAGAGCTGGACTTGATTTGCTCTCAAATGTTGATCGCGGTCTGCGTGTTACCTAATGTGACCAGACTCTCTGTCTGCTCTGGTGTGATTTTACTGTAAGATGCGTAATTTTCAGTGTCATAAAACCTCCATGCTCGTACAACACGCACTTTCCAGCCTGTCTGTTTGGGGTGGTAATTACACACTTCAACTTTCAGGTTAAAAAGGAGGGGGAGTTAAGAGGCTTTCGGGAGTTCTGGCTTAGCCATGAACTTGTGATGGTTTCATGTTATTTCAAAAAGGAATATGGAATAAACTGAAAAGGAAAAACTTAAAAAATTACTTGTAGGATTTAACTAAAACGTTGTGAGTATGATTCCTTCACGTAGTAAAGTTTTACTTTTCCAGTTTGATTTTTCTTTCTCACAGTTGATTAACTTGCCCTAAATTTGGCAATAGACAGGCTTTTAAGGTTCTTACAGTGAGGAATTGGTGATTTGAGGACTTGTTTGAGATGGGAATATCCACGAACTCAAAGTTTTATAGGAGATGGGAGGATTGGAGATGAGGACTCTTATCCTCTTGTGCCATAGCAACAACAGAAGTTGTAGGCTTTGAGAAATGCAAAGCATTTTGTTTAATGTTTTCCAGAGGTAGATGGTTTTTTTTGGAAGAAAAAAAGGTTTTGGTAATGTTCTGGGGTTTTTTGAAGCTTAGAGCAACGCAGCAATCACAAGCAGGATCTTACTATTACATTTTTTGTGTACGTTTTATTTTTGTGAGTGACACGTGGGACGGTTGAGTCTTTGACATGTAATCATGTTGTGTCTGTCCTCACTGGTACTGGGTGCAGGCAGCTGTGTTAATGTGTGTGTGCACACAAAACCACCCGTAACAAACCCCCGGTAGGACAGGTTTACAGCTGAGAACTGGGTTCATTAGACAGGATTGAAAAGTCTAAACTGCTCCATTCCTTTTTAGTCTTAGAAAAAGGAAGGCATGAACACAAAACATGGAAGGTGATTGCAGCTGTCTTATTCTTGTAACATCTTGTAACTTGAGCAGAGGAGTGAGACTTGCCTGGGAATGATGTTTTCAGCTCTGTATTTTAATTTATGTGTGAACTTTGGGCAGCTGTTAATTGTCCTTCTCCAGGCTGTGGTTCTGCACCCTCAGTCTGTGCTGTTACTGTCCATTCCTGCTCCCTTCTTTACACTGCAGCCAGTGCTGTCTTGGGCATTTGGTGATGTGTCTTGGTTCTCTCAAGCTGGTAGATGGCAAACATATCAATCCTGTATCCAAAAAAACTCCAACAGCCCCCAGACTCCTGCCAACCAGCTTAGTGAGGGTCCCAGCACAGGAGGTGGGGCTGCTTGCCAGCTGCATGGCAGTTCTGTTAGGGATTGATTCCAGCTGGCTGCAGTCATGGACTGCCATGAACCCGTGCCCTGGACTGAACACAGGGTTGCCTGCTTCCTGGTAAATTCAGTGACCTTTTTTGAGGTCTTGGATGTATGGAAGACATTCAGCTACCTGCCAGTGTCAGTGCAGCCTGGGATGCCTTGTCTTGGTCTTTAGGAAGCCTTACATGCCTGCTAATACAAACCCCGTTTTTAAACTAATTGTGACAGAAGTGCCTGTTATTTGGCCTTGGGTTTGCATCAAACAGCCTGTTTTGGTGGCTGAAGTTTTAACAGAAAGTAACTGAGACTTTAATCGAAGTGTCATGAACTGTTTTCTTTGCTACTTAGCAGTGGAAATTGCTTCTTCTACATTACAAACTATCAGGCACTTAAAAATTTTTGTTCTGTTAAGCTTTGACTGGAAGTCAAATGGGTAGAACGTTACTAAGAAGGTAATTAACTTTGTAAGTGGAAACTGGGCTGTTTGTACAGTGTCCTAGCAAGTGGCATTCTAGAAGTGTTCCATGGTGGGTAGATGTTCAGCAGTACAATGACTTAGTTGTGAGTCTGCTGAGGTTCCAAGAAGGAAAGCATTAATGGACACAGTAGTGTGCTTTAGGCAAGGTACTTGGAGATTCTTCCCCAACTCTGGTGATGGAACTGTCATAAAATGAGCACCAAAGGACATTCAGCAGGTCTTGTTCTCGTAGCGTTTCTGCACAACTTTGAAAATCAGTGGTAAGAAAATACAGGAACATGCAGTTTGTCCTGCAGTGCTTGCAGCGATCTGTGGAGGTTTGCATGCAAATCTCTCTGACACAGTTTTTAAAAGCAGAATTTCCTAGAAATGTGTGTGTTGCGAATGTAGCAGGAAAAGCCGTGTGCAGAAGAGATCCAAGTGGGAGTGCTAAAGCTTCAGCATTAGCAGCAGTTGGCCTTTGTGCTCAGCTTCCCAAAACGTGGATTGAAGAGGAGGATGATTGTCCCGGTATCTGTACCAAGATGAGATTTAACAGGCCTGATCACAACTGAGTTTAATTGCCTGGCTTTGGCAGGAGCGAAAGGTGAAGCGCTTGCACTTCCCAAGCATCCTTGCGTGGTCTTTAATCGGAGCATCTTTAATAAGTGCGATTGCCTTCGTTTCAGCTGAGAGAGTAATTCCTTCACAGTTTACTTTGTGCAATTTATATACAGATGATGCACAGTAGACACTGATTTGCATACCATTAACATGAGAATGCTTTGGAGGGACTGCCAACAAAGCAGTTGAAAGGCCTGATTCTTTGGGTTTGCTTTATACCGGTTTCCCAAGCGTTTGATGTGGACGTGGAGCGTTCCAGGGAAGTGGACTGCGAGGTTCCACATTTCAATATAACTGATGCCCTTCCAAGTGAAATTACAGTAAGAGTGGGATGATTGCATCCACTGGGTAATGCTGTATAATTACAGTTACACATGTTGGGTCCTTCAGAGAAGACCCGAAAATAATTATTTGTGATGAGGAATGGTCTGACGTTTTGTCTGAGTTACAAAGACTGTGAGCACTTGGTGTAGGCTGGTTGCTCCTGATTTATCTGTCAGAGGTGACAGCAGAGGGTGAAAGTAAATAGACCTTTCCAAAAGGTCTGTCCAACCCAAGTTGAATTAATGTGTGTTTGTGTGTGTACAGGTGTGGAGTTGGAAGTGTGGATGCATTTGAAGTGGAAGTAGACATTGTTTCCAGGAAGAGGCATCTTGAGGCTCCCAATGCCATAGGTTTTTTCCCCTTACTTAAGTGGAATTCCTCTCTCTTAATCTGTACTTGGAGATCGTCTTGTCTTACCTTTTCTATTAATTTTCTGTACCTCTTCAGCTTTATGTGACTTCTCCATAAGTCATCCCCCATAGTGGATGTCCCTGTGTTCTTCTGCAGTCATTGACTACTAATACTTGTAATAGTTGGGGTTTTTTAATGTATTTTACCTATAAAATATTCACAGAAACCCCTTTCTGACTTCCCAGCTGACAGTCCTTTTTCTTCTCATTGCCATTCAGGGTGGTTGAGAGGGTTACAGGTTCTTCTTTGCTCCTAATTCCTGCAGAGAATACAAGGAGGAGCAGCACATTGTGGGGATACAGCAGTGTGGGAGAGGACTGTTTCATTTGTGTGGGAGGGTTTATCTACCTCCTTAATTAAGACTTTTGCCCCACAAGTGGGAAATGCTGAGACCAAAGTGAAGCTTGAACCTTTAGGTTCAGACACAAAATGTGACACCATCAAATGAGAGGAAAATGCAGAGAGAGGTAACGGGAACAGACTGAAAGTTTTCAAGTAAATGAGAGTCCTTTTTCTCGAGGGGGGGTACACTGGAGAAAGTATGGGAGAACAGGTCAGCCTTGCTACAGCAAAGTGCTGTCCAGCAAAATACAGCTGTTGATTATGGCACAGCAGAGTTAATGCTGCTAAAACTCCCCGGGGCTTCAGTGCAAAATGGCACTTCAGACTTGAAGTGTAGTTTGCTGTAGAACATTTCTAAAGAGATTTGTGTCAAATGGAACTTTTTGATGTGGGTCAGGTGATTGAAACATGCTGCTCTGGGGAACTTTATTCATACTAAGTGATGTAAATGCCAGGTTGTTTGGTTTTTAACTCAGTCTTAGTGGATTCTGTTGTCTTGATATATAATGAAGTATGAATGTGGGGGGAAAAAGGCAATTCTGTTTAAGGTAGTATTAATGCAAAGTGGAGGGAAATCCAAAAAACTGGTAAAATCTTGTAATGTTCTTATATCGACTTGGAGTGTTTTGTGAAACCTGATGATAAACTTACTGATAGCACTTACTTTGATTTCCTAATTTTGCACAAATGGCTCTTCTGTTGTGTACTAGGTGCTGCTGAAACTCTTGGCACAGGGCTGGTTTTAGCGTTACTTTAAAAAGCAAACTATTTATGCTTTATGGAGTCACTTACCGTAGATTTATCAGTGCAGCTATACTGATAAATTCCACTTGGATTCCTGCCTTAACATGCTCTGTAACTAAGGTAACACATGTGAAATTAGACTTTCCTGTTTCCTAAATTTTATTTACAAAATTCTGTTAAACCAACAGGGTGTTAAGCAGTTTAACACAATTTAAGTAAGACCGCTGGAGATGTAGAAGAGGAAGTGACTCAAGTATCAGCTATTAACAGTTAATAAGAAAGTTTGGTTTCATAGGGTGCCTTTCTGTCTTGTTGCTGAAAAATGGGTGCTTGCAGGAAGAATCACAGAAAATGCTGAGTTGGAAGGGACCTACAAGGATCATCAAAGCCCAACTCCTGGCCCTGCACAGGACACCCACAAGAGTCTCACTCTGTGCCTGCGAGCATTGTCCAAACTTCAGCTCTCTTGGGCTTGGTGCCTTGAGCACCTGCCTGGGGAGCCTGTTCCAGTGCCCAGCCACCCTCTGGGGGAAGAACCTTTTCCTAATATCCAACCTAAACCTCTCTTGAGACATGCTTAATCTTTAAATGTATGCAGAAAATCAGATGATTGGAGATACTGAGGTTTAAATACAGGCATTTTTTTCTAAAATACCAGAAAAGTAGTTGCAAACAGTACTCCTGCATGAGCCACTTGAGAAGCATCTTCAATGCCATTTTAATTTCTGTGGTGTTTAAGTACAAGATTCTTTTTAAAACTGGGGGGTTGGTTTTGTTCCTGTAGGTGATGTTGGCTGTAGGTGCCTTTTTGGTGCATGAATGCATAATTCAGAAAGGACTGGACCCAACTGCCAGCTTCTCATGGGCCCTGAAGAACTTGGCAGCAAGTAAACAAATACATAAATGCTGCCTAAATGTACAGAGTCTTTTGCCACTTCCTTCTGTAGTACTTGGGCTGTTGATGGTTGATAATTTAGTGCTGGGCAAGGACTGGAATCCCAGGCTTGAAATGCCAGTAGGAATAGACCATAAGTATCTTCTTCCCTTGGCAAGAGGCTTCATAAACAAAAGGGGAAGAGGCCAAGATTGATGGATGGTAGATGGATGAAGAGTGACTGATAGATGGCATGAGGGGAGACGTCCAACACAAGTGAGCTCCTGCAGTGGGCTGTGGATCTCTGCACCAGGGGGAACTCTAGGTGATGGAAATATTTTGAAAGCGTGCTCCACAACAGGGAATGTTTCATTCCTGAGACATTCCCTAGCTGACTGAGAGTTGGGATGCTTTGAAATTTTATTTCTGCAGTGATTCTCTCCTGCTTGTGGCTACGGTTTTAGTGTTGATGAGTAGTGGAATTGCTGCTTTTTCCTCTGTTACTTTTTCTTCCAATACACTTCCCCAATTTCTAGTTCCACAGTAGTTGCTGAGATTTCAAGCTTCCCCTAAACTTAAGTAAATATTGGTTTTCTTTTTCTTTATTTCCTGTTTCAGTTACTGAAATCATGAATCCTGTGTATAGCCCTGGATCTTCTGGGGTTCCCTATGCAAATGCCAAAGGAATTGGTTATCCAGGTAAGTAACTGTTTTCTAACAAGTTCTGCTGCTTTTTCCTTTCAACAAGAAATAGTCACTAAAGATTACCTTCATGTAAATCTGTTTGGGGATTGGGGTGGGGTTGTCTTTAAATTTAAAAAGTGACATTTCCAGAGTGATGTTATTTCTTCTGTTATATTTCTAACTTCAGTATCTCTTCCAAAGCAGCTTATTTTAGGAGCTCTAATAATTGCGCCCTGCAAGAAGAGGAGTCAGTCTATTTCTGCTGCTGCTACTTGACAGGCACTGTTAACCTTTCTATCCTCTAATTCTTGTTCTTGCTCGTGCTTTAGCACTGTCCAAAGCATAGCATCAAGGATGGGACCAAGAAAATGGCCACAAATGTTTTGGAAACACAAATGTATTTCCCACTTTGTCTGTTTCTCATTGATGTCAGGTTTCTCACCAGGGTTTTTTTCCCCTCATCTCCTAATGTGTGTGCAAGCAGGTTTCATTTCTGATATCTCCACAGTCTAAAAGTTGGATGAGGCAAAATTACATTTGGCCAGAGCTTTCCAGGAAGGCCAGAGAGAAGCCTGTGTGCCTCTGGGAGGCATTTCAAGCAGCAGGTCTTGAGGCTATCTTTTTGGGTTTTTTCTGGTATCTGTGAGATAAGGGAATTTCCATTCTGGGAGAGCCTGGAGGGTCTTTCAGCTCAGATTTTATAGTCCATAAAAAGTTAAACTTTTTCAGCTTTTACAGCAAAGATTTTTTGTGATTTATTTGGTGTCTATGTTGGGAGGTAGAAATCACTCTCTGCTGTTACTGTTTATATTCTTGGTAGCTGTACTATATTTTCCTACTGGTATTTACTGTTCTTAAATTTGTTTTTCAGCTTAGATAATGCTCTAGAGGTCATATTTTCCTGTTCTACTTTTCTGTGATCCTCCTAAATACTGCTGCATAAATGAATTCTCTTTATTGTTGGCTGATTGTCTCCAAAACATTTTCATTTTATTTTTTTGCTTTTCAGATTCCTCAAACTAGTGTACATGTCTTGATTTCTCCAGTGTTTATAAAGGGAAGGCACAAAGTGTGTTGCAATGTTTTTAAGTCTGTTGAGTGACTGGACTGGTGCAGTAATAAATTGTAAAGCTGATGCTGTGTAACCATAAGTCCTCCAGGATGGCTTTACTCCCTGTCACTGAGTTATAAGGGCTGCAGTGATTGTACAATGAGGCAAGCAGCAGAGGTTTACTAATTAATATAATTGATGCAAGTTATTCCCATATTTGGAGCCCCTGGTGGTCTAGGGGGTAAAGGCGCCGCGCTAGCACCGCGGAGACCCGGGTTCGATTCCCGGTCAGGGCCACTCCCGGGCAGGTGGGGCTCGTTAGCCCTTAAAGGCAACCCACCTACGTCCTAAGGACCTCGCTGCCACCGTCCAAGCTCGCTTGGCCCCGGCAGATGAACCTTAGGATTAAAGGGTGGGCTCAGTTCCGCGCACACTGTGTCTCACCTAAAAAATCCAATGCGCAGGCTGGAAGGCGTAAACACCTTCCCCGGATCTTCGCTCGCGAAGACTGGCCATTATTATTCCCATATTTGTAATAGATTGCTTTTTCAGGCCTTTCTTTTGCTTTAGATAAAGATTATTATGAATTATTTAAATATGAAGTTGTATTTTTAGCTCTGTTAATTTTCTGAATGCAGATTTGTATTAACCAGGGTTTCATTTGTCCTTAGAACCATTTACACATTGCATTGACGCTCTTGTTTATACTAAACTAAGTCATAGCTTAATTTAGTTTGGAAGATACACTATTGTAGATTCATAAGTAGCAGTTTAAACAATGTTACCACTTCTAATCTTTTATTCTACTGTTGCACGTACTAGACTATATACTGAATTATGTCAGTGCTTTATATTTGCTAGTTTGCAGAACTGATGTATGTGAAATTGAAGTAGGATTGTTACAGAAGTGCCTTAAATACCATGCTACAAGTTGGTTACTCAGAATTCTCCCTTGCAGCAGTCAGTTCATCAGTTCACACAACTGTGACCCTTAAATTCAGCTTAGTCAATAATGTGTTGCACCATTAGTGTGCTAAGCTGCCTGGTTCAAGCTTTTTAAGATTTTGGGATAAACATGAAACACGTTCTCTACATGGAAAAGTAGACTTACATTTTAGGGTTTTTTTTAAAGCTGTTGCATGACTAAGGTGCCCTTTTTTTGGCCTCTCCTGATTTGAAAGCTGCAGATTCTCCACTCAGAATCATTGCATTTGCATGGGTTGCATGGGAATAGAAAGCAAGGAACACAGCAGTAGGTGGAATGCATTATTGAAAGGCAATGTGTTTCTAAAGCTGTTGCATATTTAATAACAGTTTATATTATACTAGACCTATTTTAGGTCGTTGGATAGGTTTCCAGCAGCAAAAAAATCAATATTCAAACGTTCTTGCTCAGGTGGAAGTTCTGTGTAGAGGTTCAAGCTGCTGCTTGTTGTAGTTCCATTTTTCACAAATGACCCATTTCCTGAGCAGCTCAGAGGGCTCGACTGTGGAGCTGAAGCTGTGAAGAAAGGAAGGAGGACTGGAAAGGTACAATGTACCTGAGGTTGCAGATGTGTAGTTGGATTGAGTAAGGTGCAAAGCTGTACTGAAGCTTTTCTGAAGCTTACTGAAGCTCATGAGTTTGAAAACCAAAGAGCTATTTACACTCTGAAAAGTTGTTACTACTTGGATATGTTATTTTTAACTTTGATTTTTAAGGCTAATGCTTTTCTTAGTCTTATCCATGCTGACCACCCAGTAGCAGTGCCAAGTGTATGCCACTTGATATGTTTACAGAGTGCTTTGCAAAACTAGGTTAGCATATATAGTCCTGAGCTGAGGAATTCTTATTGTTGAGAGTAATTGCTGAGGACTCCGGGACTTATAATGAAATAGAAGCCCTTAAAATTGGAATATCAGTTAAAAATTAGCAGCTTTGAATGTGACAGTGGAGATGCAAATGGTAATTGCCTTTTATCTGGAGAAGTTGAAATCTTTTTATTTTGATAACAGAATGTGGTAGTAACTCCATCTTTCTAAATACAGTCATTACTCAGTTTTATACAGTTTGGAATGATGTAAATAAGTTCCTGGAAAAATTAATAGCTATGATTAATTCAGAAATTTCACTAAATCTAAACAAGGTTCATATCTTTCAAGGAACTGGCTTTTGCTTATGTTGGTTTTTGCCTTGTGTTGGAGGCCAGTCTATCACATTAGTTCAGCCCTAGTCGTTCTACTCTGGTGTAGAAGTGCTTACCTATCATTTTTTCAGTGCCTCTTTGAGTCCCTCTGTACTGGTAACTCTCAGTGTGTATCTGAAATTGGGGAGCTTGTTTGTAATAACAAATTCCTGTCAAATTCAACAAGCAGTTTGGGCTGCTACTGCTTTGTACTTTCTGCTTGAGATATCTCTGATCTGGAGAGTCAGAGTCACTCTGACTTGGAGGGGTTTATTTCTGTGAAAAAGTCCCTTCAGATAAACACTGTACAGCAGATCTTAAAACTCGTGGAGGGGGAAAGGAATGTAGGATAATTTCACAAAACTTTATTTTCCAGCTGACTGAAGAACTACTTGGCCAACAGAGATTTACTGCAACAGGGATGTAAGGGAGAAAGCTAAGATGTCACAAGTGCTCTTTTCACCTAGCATTCACTTCCAGGTGGCCTGGGAGACGGGGAGCCCGGTGTTGTAGTTGAGGAGGTGTGATTGAAGGCTGGCTGTTTGCTTACCTCAGGTAAAATCTGGGTAGACTGTGCAGTCAGGAGAGTAACTTTGACTTGTACTTTCTTCCAGCTGGCTTCCCAATGGGCTATGCAGCAGCTGCTCCTGCCTATTCCCCTAACATGTATCCTGGAGCAAATCCTACCTTCCAAACAGGTATGTGTGGTAGGTATGTTTGAAAGTTGTTAAAAGAATGAGGAAAAGCTGCAGGGGCTCACAAGAGCACTTGTACTGTGGGATAAGTTTTACGTTACTTTGAATATGACTCACAAGGAATCATCTGATAAATTAAAATGAACATAATCTTAAATCATACTGCTTACACCTTCTGAGGAGAGAACAGCTGAAGTTTTAGCTGTTGTTTCTGTATTTCAGGATGATCCTTGAGGCTTGCATTGCATTTCCCTTCACTGCTTCTTTCATGATTCTGCTTGCTTTGCCTTTTACTGGTCATTTCCAGATTCCTGGATTTTCTTCTGTTTGTTGTCTTCAAAACTGCTCTTTTTCATCCCTTCCTTAAATCATATCTTTCCAAGTTCAGCACGCTGGTGTCTTTCTGCCCTTAAAACTATCTTGCACGAACTGATGTTCTGGAAGGCCTGGGTAAAAGTGTTTTGTCCACAGTGGACGCAGGGGAGGCTTTAGGTAACTGCATCTGCATGTGTGTTGGTTAAGAGAAGGGTACTGTGAGAGGCCTAGGAAAAGGGAGATGGGAGAACTGACACAGGAAACAAAGCACTCCAGAGTTATTTTTGTGTAGTCCTGCTTTCACTAATAGAATATTATTTTGATATGCTAATCCTTGAAAAAACCCAAAAATGGCAGAGTTTAATTTCCACATAAACCAGGAATATGGATCTAATACAACAGGGTTCTCCCTGGGCTCATTGTGTACCTGAAGGAATTCCTGCCATTGCTTTGTTAATGTAGATCTGGGCCATCCTCAGGAACTCTTTCACTTCCATGTATTATGCCAGTTTTCCAGATGCACATGGCACATCAGCAGATTTGTCCCTGAATGCCCTGGTGGTATGGGGATAGGAAAGGATACTGCTGGAAATTGGGAAGCTCATGTTGTGGCTTGGTATTGAAGTTCAGTGTTTGCAACAGATGCATTTCATTAACTACCAGGAGACTCTTGAGGGTGTGGCAGCAATTACTGAGACAGGAGAGAGTAGGTCTTCTGGAATGTTTGCCTGCAGAACCTTTATAGCTTTCCTTGGAACTGGGGAATATCCCCGTTAGTACAACCTGTGTCACTGCTCAGTTCGCTGCTTAGAGGCACAGTGATGCAGACTCACTCCTTTGTCTTGTCTTTGGTTTTGAATTTAAGGTAAGGAAATGGATCAGTGTTATGACTTCTAGTAATTAAAAAAAATTTAAGAATCTGTCCCTTGGGTAAGTGCTGCCACCGTGCAAGTGTCATATCTGGGGGTGCATTTGCACTGGGCTGCTTCAGAGCTCTTCTGAGAGTGATGTTCAAGGAGAGCAGTTCCATCAGGGCCCAACTCTTGGCCTGGGCATCAGAGCCCTCTGTGGGCTTTGATTGTTGCAGACAGGCTGTTCAGTGGCACAGCTGGGGTGACCTTAGTGATGTGTCTGCCTTCTGTGCTCACTGCACGTATCCTGCAGCTGTGCTGAGGAGTGGCTGCGGGGTTTGATCCCAGGATCAGAGCACTGAAAGGCACTTCCACACTTCATACATGCTGCAGTTTGCAAATCCTGCCACAGGAAGATGAACATAAATAAGCTGCATGGAATCAATTTACCAACTCATGAGACTAATGTTTTTCCCCAGTTGTTTTTTTAGCTCTCTGTCAGTTATATTGTAATAGAAGTTTATGATTTTTGGGACAGATTCTTGACTTCAGAGTTAGACTTAATCATGCTGTAATGTTAGTTTACATTGATTAATCTTTGCTATATAGCATGAGATATATTCCAAGTCAGAAAATACTGCTTTTTCACACAAAAGTGAAAAAGTTCTAAGATTTGTAGAAGCTGTATACCAGCTTTGAAGGTCCTTAATTTTTAAAAAAACAGTACTGTTAGAATCTTTATTGGTGTTGAATGGAAAATAAGCTTTTATTTCAGAACTAAGAATAGCTTTAATTTTTGGCTACTCTTTAAGCTGTGAACTAAAGTTCAGAATGTACAGACCCTCTAAATCAGGCAGATAACATGAAATACTTTGTTACAGCTGGGATTTTCTTATACCTTTTTAACCTTTCTGATGTAACTGCTTGTTTGAGAATCAAAGTTTTAGTAAATCATATTATGCAGCAGAATTTGAACGTGCCACTGCTGTACAGAAAAGGGACTTTTTTACAGGTAACTGTCTTAAGTGACTGTGGTTTTGAATAATCATGTAATTTACTGTTAAGGTCTTTGCCCCATGTAAGGGACAAAAAAATAAATACCTCTTGTGCAGAATTACCACTTTGCAAGAATGAAAAAGAAATTGCCTGTGCAGCTTTATCAGTGGGTTTTTAGAGTGAGAGTGGGCTTCACTGAGGACAGAGTTGTAGTTCAGTAGTGATGCTTCGTGTTCAGCATTTTGAACCTGTGGTTTCCACCACAAAGAGTTCCCCATAGTAATGGAAGTTCCTTCCTCAGCATACTCTGTTTGTGAAATACTTAGGATCTCTAAAAACAACAGAAGAGAGTGCTGTGGTGTAGCTTTCTTTAAAGGTGATAAATTCTATTAAAAAGAAAAAGTAAACCTACTTCTTCATTAGCTGAACAGCTTTGAGTTTGAAGGGTGGAATGAAACTGCAGAGAAACTCAGACTTGTGCAAAAAGAATGAAGGTCATCTGTCATCACGCTGTCTGCACAGACTGATTTTTGACAGCACAAATGCCAGCATTCTCTGCTATACGACTTCAGATCTGTTCTCTCTGTTGAACTCAGCACATTCTAGACAGTTTTTCAAGTCAACCTAATCTCTATTCCAATAGTCTCTTTTTTTTTTTTCTATAATTACCAAGTGTCTGTTCTTCCTTGCACTGCCCTGGTAGTTTGTACAATTCCAACTAAATGGGAATAGTGCCTGTGGATGTTGTGTCTCCTGGTGTGGTGGACCTGCAGGAGACCCAAGATCTTTTCGCAATAGCCCAGACTGGTGTGGCCTTCTGTATTTATTTTAGCCAGTTCAGAAAATGCCAGAAAACAAATACAAACAAATGTAAGGTGAAGTAGAGGTTGCAGATTGTGTGTCTGTGTTCTCTGACAATCCATCTTGAGCTCTTTGGATGATTCTGGCTTTTGACATTCTTATTCTTGTGCTGTATCATCTCCTGCAGAAGGTGACCACAGGTTAGTCAACTGTTACTGTGTTTTGCCAGGATGATTTGGGGGGTGTTGAGAGTTGAGGGATGCTAATATGTGCCAAGTCCTCCTGTATAAGTATGTTAATATGCCCACTCCAAGTATTTAATGATGTTACTACCAAAATGTACTTTATGCCCTGTCTTCATAGATTTGAAAAGTAAATCATGCAAATATACAGTTAACTTTTCATGCTTAGTTGACACAGTCAGATACTATTTCCAGACCAGTATTAGGTAAATGATTAAACTTGGATATTGAGACCAGTTTACTGAGGACTCACATGAAGACTGTGGCATTGGGAAATCAGAGAATTGTTGCCCTGACTTCAGGAAGCAGATCACTGCCCTGTGTTTCCCACGGGTTTGATGCAGGTTTGCCTTTGTTTCAGGTTATACCCCAGGTACCCCGTACAAAGTCTCCTGTTCACCCACCAGTGGAGCAGTGCCACCGTACTCCTCGTCACCGAATCCCTACCAGACTGCTGTGTACCCAGTCAGAAGTGCCTACCCACAGCAGAATCCATATGCACAGGTACACAGACAAAGCCAAAAACTGTCACTTTGGGTGGTACTTTGTGTTCCCTGCAATATCTGTGTGAACTTGTAACCTTTCATCATGTTCATTGCTTTGTGCATGGAGAGAACCTTCAGCTGCCTGCACTAAGAATTCTTAACGCAGTGACTTACAGAGTGTGGGTGCAGTTTTATGTTCTCTCTTGCCCTTTCTGATTATGTGATCTGTCCTCGAAGATACACTAGATTGAGTAGTTTTCAAAATCTGTGCTGTATGTTATAACTACCAATATCCTGGTTTCATTTCATCAGAAATTGTCATAAAGTTGCATTGATTTTTTTTTAGCGAGTTCTGTTGTAATTCAGGGAGTTACCAAGTCTCATGCTAAGCAAGCTGTTGAAAACTATTAGAAAAGACAGGATTAAGACACTTCAGTAAACGTGATATTTTGGGGAAAAGTTGGCCTTCTTTCCATGGTGGAAACTTGCCTGGCATGTGAGCAGGAGTTAGAGGGAATTAAGCATGTGACAAGTTTTATACACTCTGCTTAGTGTATTTGGATTTGTCAAAAATCTTTGGTTCTTTAAGAGCAGCTGAACAGAAAGTTGTGAAAGACTGAGAAGAGTTCTGTCATGGATTATATATGTGAAAGGAGACAAAATGAAGGCAGTGAATGACAAATGACCCCTTACTGTTGAATGTACAGTCAGCATCGGAGTTCTGCAAAGGTCCCTACCTTGAATGTTACCCCAAAAGCCTTAAAAATGGATAAAATGTTAAAAATTTTGCAAGTGAAACACAGTTGGAATAGTTAGATTGAATGTTGTGGCTTCTACTCTGTAAATGCATTGCATCTTTAGAGTAATACTTTTATTTTATGATAATGTTCATGAAAGGAGATACCACTTATCTTCCCCAACAGATACACTGCAATTACTTAATGTGCTGTTTTTCCTCCAACAGCAAGGCACTTACTACACACAGCCTTTATATGCAGCACCACCCCACGTAATCCACCACACCACAGTCGTGCAGCCCAATGGAATGCCAGCAACCATGTACCCTGCTCCGATCCCGCCGCCCCGAGGGAACGGGGTCACCATGGGCATGGTGGCTGGGACGACCATGGCAATGTCAGCAGGTTTGTGCGCCTCCCCCCCGCGTGGTTCCTTGGTGCAGCTCTGCTTTCAGCTCGAGTGGGGCACGGGTGTACTTAGCACAGTCACGAAACTGCCACTCAGTGTGTGTCTTCAGAGTGAGTCCAGCTAGTTCAGTGATGCTCTCATCACCTCCAAGGATGGAGGTGTTGCATCCTCTTTTCAGGTGTCAGTATTATTGGGTGGTAGTTTCTCTTCATATCTGTGTGGAATTTCACTCCTGCATCCTTTGCTTCTCATCTTACCAGTGGTAAGAGTCTGACTTGCTCTTCCCAGTGCATATCTCAGTGCCAGTTGAAAGCAGCAGCCTCTTAAGGCTGAGGAAAATGTAGTGTCACAGACCTTCCTTGTGTGTTCAGGTACAGCACTTCATGTGTTTGCACCACCTGCAGGTCCTCTGTGTCGTGGGCAGTGGTTAAGGATGTCTGCTTCCTATGGACACTGTCTCTTGGTGGTAGTGTTTGGAGACAATGTTGTTTCCCCAGTAATCCAGTCTCATCTGCGAGTGTTTGCTGAGGGGGTGTCATGCTTTGTTACTCAGTAGGTGGTTAACTCACGAAGAAACGTCCACATTCACTTAAAGGATGCTCAATTTAGCAATCCCAAAAACAAGAACCATGAGTTTGTTTCAGGATTCTGGTTTTTATCCTGTCAAATCTATAATTTAATTTGAGAAACCTCAAAAGTAGAGGAGTTAGGTATCACAGACTGAGCTAACATTAAAGTTTTGTTTGTGGGCAGGCTGATCCCAGGTGTTTGTGACTGTTTCTGCAGAGTGCTGTGGAGTAAGACTGGTGACCCTACTCTCTCAGGCTGTTTGTTTCTGAAGCCTCTTAGTCTGTAAAAACCTGTAATAATGCAAACAAGAACTAATTTATTCTGATTTTTCAGTCAAGTTATCCCTACCATCAGATATTCTTACGGCACGTAAAGCCTGCTGTGGGAGAGTCTTGCAGTGAGTAATACTTATGTTGCAGGGTTTTTGCCAGAGCTGTTTTTGAGTAGTGAGTATCTGTGTTGCACTGGACTGAACATCCACTGGGCTAAAATGACGCCGTGCATAAAGGTTTGAAGGCAGATTGGGGCTGCAGAGCAAAATGATACTGATAATTTTAAAGATGAGCAAGCTGTAATTGTTTTTAAAATTAAATCTTTTTTTTTCACTCCTTCCCTTTTGTTTGATTTTTTTCTTCTCTCTACTAGAACTTGTGCTTAATGAAAACTGTTCTCTTCGTTCTAGGTACTTTGTTGACAACTCATTCCCCAACTCCAGTAGCCCCTCATCCAGTTACTATGCCCACGTATCGGGCTCCAGGAACACCAACCTATAGTTATGTGCCCCCACAGTGGTGATCATCCTGGCAGTCAGTGTAAGTTACTGATTTAGATTGAAACCACTTAATCTTTCTTACAAATGACAGCATTGCAGGTTCTCTGGGGGGAAAGTCTCCAGAAGGTGAGCAGTCTGGGGTGCTTTGACAGTGTTCTGATTGAGTAGGAATACACAAAAATTACTGTTTATGTACTAGCTGTTCTTGCAGAGTGCAGCTTTGTATTTTGTACTTTGTACTAATGGGGCTTTTTCAGTGGTCTGTTTCTTCACAAATCATGAATCATTTTCATGGTTCTTGATTGCTGAATGTGAGAGAATGAGCCTCAAGTTTGCCTTCTTAAAATACATCTGGGATTAAATGTATTCAGTGTTTTGGAATCGTTGGTAATTGTTGAATTCAGCAGTACTGTGATTCCTGAATGAAACAATGTGTGTGACTTGGTTTTGATTGGCTAAATATGTAGGTAAGGTGAGTGTTTTGCCTTGCTCTGAGGGTGAATCTTTCTCACAAGCTGCTGAAACAAATAAACAGCTTTGAGATAATTTCATATATTTGTTCTGTTTCAGGTTAAGTATCAGTGCATATTTCTTGCACTCAGTGTGGGGAAAAGCATTTTTAATGTGAACCAAAATTTAGATAATGGATTTCAAGAAGAGGAGTTTAATTTTGAAATCTGCTATAAAGTGGGATGGACTTTGGGGGCGTAATCAGTGTCAAAATGATACAAAGCCTAATGTTTTTGTGATACATATTTCTGTTTCTGGTTTGTTTGGTTATTTTTAGCGTAAGTTGAAAGGAGCTTCATTGGAATTAATGACTTGTCAGACCAGCTGAACTTGAAATTTTCACTTTTAGTCCATTTAGTTTGAGAAAAGTTAACCTAATTGAGAGTATTTCCCACTCTTCTCCCCCTCCTAATGTAGGTTTGAAGATGGGAGATATGCAATCAAGAAATTGAGGTTTAAAAGTTGGTGCTGAAGCCCTCATGCCTCCAACCAGGACTTTCCTTCTGAATGCTTTCAACACTTGGCTAAACACTACTAATTCCTGATCACTGAAGATTTTCCAGTGCTGCATATCTTACATCTTGGAACTCCAGCAGTTAGTCTTAAAGCAAATCCTGTTTTGTGGACTGTCTTGCAATTTTTTAGCTAATTATAACGATAAAAAGGGAGTATAAATTTATTCTGATCCATATCTAGTTGAATGCATGTTAAAACACAAAAACAAAGCTTGCTCAATCTACCTGCAGTGACTGATGCAAAAACCATCATATGCAAATCCAAAGGAACCGAAAAGTATTTTACAACTTGTATCACTAATGCACTGTTGTAATGTATGCAGGGTCTGAAAAGGTAGAATCATGAAAGTGAGTTTCTTTCTGGAATACCATAACATACATTAGATAAGTGCTTCAGCCTTTTTCAGGTTGATGGAGTTGCCAGTTTATAAAAGGGGCATATTTTTATTTAAGTGATGTGTTCTTTTCAAATTCAGCTACTAAATTGGAGTGACTGGAAAATGAGTCAGACAAGCTGTAGAAATCCCGCACACAATTAGTTTACTTCATACCTTTTCATTTTCATGATACGAATTCAGTGTTATACAGATGTTCTTAGGATCAGAATGAGATGACAGAGGTAATGCTGTGTGTGCCAGTAAATAGGGCAAACTTCCTTGAGGCAAAACTGGCTCGTAGGAATAGTAGGAGGTGATACCACCTGCATAATGATTGCATGTCCTGGGGAGATTTCTATCCAGTACCATCCTTCATACGATGCAAGACGTGTCAAAGTGAGACTGCCACACAGACTGATAGAAAACACTTTCTTTTAGTTCTCAGTTGAGGAAATCCGTGCTGTTTTTCCTAAAGGATGTTGTAGTCAGTTGAAAATGTATGTGCAGCTGATCCAGCTTGCTTTCTGGACACTTAAGAAGTGCGAGGGCTTTCTGCAGCAAACAGTTCAGCTGCATGTTACTCTGAGGAAAGCTTGTGTGCCTGATGAGTATGTTAAAGGGGAACAAATCATTTTAATGCAATTTCCTTTATTAGCTCCTTGCAGTATGGACTATGGATACTGTCTAGTAGGGCTGCCAGAGGTTTCAAAAAGCAGTTCTCTCTTTTTTTTTTTCTGAAAATATCTGTAATTGAAATAGGAGCCACTTGTTGGTTACAGCATTTTTGTGTTTTCTTAGTATTTTCTTTTTTTTTTTTTTTACTTCCTAAATTGCACTTGGAAACACGTAAAATAAGACTCAAAAATAAGACTCAACTGCAGATTAGCATTCTCGGTGAGTCATTTGTGATATTCTTTCTTGCAACTTCAATTTTTAAAGTACCTCAAAGCGAATGCTGTGGGTATAAAGGGCTAGCCTTGGAACCCATTTGTATACCAAAATCGTTATGGGAGAGATTTTAAATTTTTAATTTGAATATTGCACATTAAAGTGGAGGTTTTTCTTAAACCTGCTTGACTTACAATTCCAGAAAGATGCAATTTCCTTTTTTTCTTTTTTTTGATACATTCAATGCCTGCAATAAATTATGCAGTAAATGGTTATAAAATGTTGTTCCCTTTTAAGCATTTACACCGAGGTATATCAGGCTGTATTGTTCCCTTAGGTTAATTTCCATTCAGAATTAAATTTTTTGAAGTTGTGTATCTAGTTACGCTTTGTTTTGGGGTGTTCTGCTCCTGTACAGATTTGGCAGCTGCTTTGGGGCAGCATCAGTGCTGATTTAGTGCAACCATCCCAGTACTCTGCCCTGGTGGGAGGCTTGTGTACCTTCATACCCCACTGGTGGTTAGAGCCCTCAGTAACTTTATTTTTTACAGTAAGCACTCTGTATTTTGTACCCTTTTTTTTTTAATAAAGTTTAGGTTTCTTTTGCATGAATCACTGTCAGTGGATGGCCCCCTTATTTCTAATGCCTTGAACATAACTATGTTGTTAGAGTAAGTACTTTAAACCTTATTCGTGAGCACTTAACTGCAGCTTAGGGATTTCCATATGTTTTTTTATATGGAGCAGAAAATCACCCAAGACAAACTTAGTTGAATCGGTAGTGCTTTGTTCAAGTCTGTTTAACAATTCCATTTGTGTAGTAGATGTGCAGCTTTGATTAGTGGGGTGTGGCAGAGCACAATGAGCATTAACACAGGGCACTTGTCCTGAGCGTGGTTTTAACCAGGAGCTGAGGTCTGGAGCAGGGCTGTGTTGGGGAGGAGCTGGGAAGGCCAAGCTGAAAGCTTTGCTGTCTCCTGTCTCGTCACCATAAACTGAAGCTTTGAAAATCATAGGAGAGAACTTCCATGAATGCTGCAATAGAGAAACAGTTGAGGAATGAATATAACTTCCTGTATATTTGCTCTAACTTCAGATTCCTAAATGTCATCTTGGAATTGGTCTCCATATAGTATTCCGTAACATTTAGGCAGTCTCACTTACTTGAGCACTTTTTTTTCTAAGTTGCATTATGGGATTCATCCAGGAGGGAGAAACTGTACCTTTTCCAAAGGTACTGCGCCTTCCAGTTCTGAGCGATTCTGATCTGCTGGGAGGCTGGAGCGTGTCTCCAGGAGTTGTTATGAAAAGTAACCAAAAGCACAGTGCAGGGGGACGGGGGAATATGTGTATATATAACTATCTTAATGGTATTTTGTTGCAAATAGTAGAAAGCATGGATATAAAACTGCAGCAGGGGAAACTGTACATCATTAAATAGGCGTTTACACAGTGAGGGTCTTACGAAACATTCTCTCCTGCTTTTTATATAACATTCCCTATTTAGAATTCCTTTATAAATGAATACGCAGTGTGTGTTTGCACAAGAGCTCCTCAGCAAGTGAAAAGAGCTAGTGCAGTAGAGACATTTCAGATCAAGCTTCTCTTTAAAAAAAAAAAAAAAAAACCAAAAAAAAAACCACACAGAAAAACTTTTATGGCAGCTTTATATGATTAAAAAAAAAAAAGTACTACTATAAACCTGGAACTGAAAATAACTTGCAGCAATAACAAAGAGAAGTCCAAGAAAGATTTTTTTTTTTTTTTGGTTAAAATTCAAATTTCAGGTGTTGAGTTTGGATAAAGTATTTTTAAAAAACTGAGGTATTCCCTATGTCAGTAACAACTGATGAAAATGTCTTTTAAATGTAGCAGCAGCAAAAGAAAAATGGCTAATAATTGGCACCAAAAACATGTAGCCCTAGTCAGTGGCATGGTGGTTAACTAAACACTAGGAAGGAAAAGAGAGAACCTACTATTAGATGTTGCTTATGCTTGTTGTAACCATCTCCTGTTTGAAGTTTCTAGGAGACATGCAGGAATGCTGTTCAAGAAAGCTTCTTTTTGAGTGTACTATGCAAGTTAAATGCTTAGATGCAGTGGTAGACAAAAAAAAGTCCTTTATTTTAGTTGAAGTTCTTCCTTGTATTGCTTCATCCACTGAAAAAAACTAACAAAAACCAGAACCAAACCACCACCACCTGTAAGTACCACCGTGTCTTAGTGTTGTCAGAGAACAGCTGATGGTGCAGAGCTGTATACCAGGGTACTCAGCATTGACTGCTCTCCATGGAGCCTTCTGGCTTCGCTGCTCCTTGGGTAGTAAGGCAAGAGATGGTCAGGATTGTCTTGGAATCACTCCCCAGTGCTTCAGCACAGTATTTTATACACTGTTCATTTGGGTTTTGCTTGAATAGGTGAGCACAGCAATGCAGTACCACCACCTAAGCAGGCGTGAACTCATCCCAGGAGTAGTAAGTACGGTGCGTGTGAAACCTCCCATCGTAGGATCGTGAGCGATAGCGATGCTTCAGCTGGAGCTTGAGGGGAAGGACAGACACGGTGGCTGTGCCTGGCCCGAGGGTGCCCGGGCTGTGCTCTGTGCAGTGTTCCGTGGCAAACAGGCCCAGTCACCCCAGACTTCTCCAGCAGGTGTCAGGCGGCAGCCTCCGTGTCCCAGAGGTTGTGACGCTGTAACAGACACGGCGATTTCAGCTCATTCACATTGTTCTCATTAGTAAGTGTCAGCTTTCTAATCCTGTATTGTGTCAGCTCTGAGGTTCCTGCAGAGCCCTCACACGGGAGCTCCTGCAGCAGGGAAGGGCAGTTTGTGCATCAGGGCTCACCCAGAGCCGAGTTGGTCCTGAGCTCTCCTCCGGAGCAGCGAGGACTCGGCAGGCTGTGCACCTCTGTCAGGGGTGCTGAGGGGGAACGAGGGCTGTTGGGCAGACTGAAGAGGAGGAAAAGGAACAGTGCTTATCTGGGGACAAGAGAACCTTTTCTTGTGTGGGTTGCATATAACACTGAAACATCTGAATTTCATGCGTAGTAAGGGTCCATTTGAGATTTGTAAAATTTATGGGCTCTGAAGTTTAAACATCGAGAAAGTGAACATGACTTTTCTAAACTGGTTGTGACTTTTGGGCACTTAGCAGGCAAACTGGGAAAGCTTTTTTAGCTGGCTGCTGTACAGATTTGTTTTAAGTAGAAGGGATTTGTTAGTGGGTTTTTTTTTAATTGTAATGCTATTATTGGCTGCCCTCCTGTCTAAGATTTAAAAAGTGAGTGCATGCAATGGAAGTACAAGAGGCCCCAGTAATAGTTCTCCATGTTTGTTATGAAATAGACACAGGTTTCCTTTTTATGACTTTTTTTAAAACTGTCTTAGGAACAGTTGTATTGGTACTTTTTTTTTAAGTTTAGGTCAATGTTGTCTTCCAGAATAAGTTTTAAGGCATCACTCACTCCTGCATTGAACTATCGCATCAACACAAAGAGTGGAGATTCCATTCTGAGCCAGTTCAATTGTGAAAATTCATACTTTTTTATTTTTTATGCAATTCAATGAGTAGATGAGCTCAGATTTAAATTCTTAAAAGCACGTTTATTGTAACAAGAATTGTTATGTATTAATACTTCAGTTTTCAATAAAGATTGACTTGTGTTGCTTATTGTGGTTTGTTTTTTTTTCTACTGTCTTTGCTGACATCCTTCCAGAAAAGATTCTGTTGCTGGAGAGCAGAATGGTATGTTTAAACTCTTTAAGCTGATGAAATCTGGTGATTAATCGAAGCAAAGCTGAACACCGAAATGGGTTAAGTGACTTTCTCGTAAGGCAGCAAAACACAGAGGTAAAGGCTCCCCAGTGGGGGATAAGCTGCCCTAAGTTGCCGTGTCTGAGAGTATGGTAATGATGTGCAGCCCTACCTTGTTCCCTTTTGAGGCATTTACTGGGATTTGAGGGTTTTCTTACTTTATTTTACAGCTTAAAACAAAGGAAATGGAACAGATGTAAAATCTGACAGTACTTCAGCATTTGGTTGATACCAAACCCATGCTGTTTGATGGGAGAGGTGACAGGCCCTGAGCAGAAGGCTGTTACAAATCAGTTGCTTGAGTGTTCCCCAGAAGGAAAAGAATTGAGTAGGTGAGAAGTGTGGGTAATTATCCTATTTCTTTAGTGTGGGGGTGGTTGTAAAGCACTGATGTTAAAATGGAATTATGTGTATTTCGGGGGAACAGAACTATGCTGCTTGAACTAACTAACTGGCTATTTTGATTTATTGTAGGTCTCCAGAAATAACCTGGTACCGTTGCTGTGAAAAGCAACATGTGGAAGAGGAAGGTGCAGTGTGACTGCGTCGCCGTGCGGGGATGACGCGTGGCGGTTGAGATCCTGCCACGGGGGTTTAGCCAGTCCAGTGGCTGAGCTCCTACAACTGTAGCCAGCACGAGGGTCCCGTGGGCAGATGTGGTTTTTCTGCTCAGTGTGCTTTACCTCAGGCTAAGTTCTGGTCACTTATCCTGGGCTTGTTTTCATGTTACAGGGAGACAGATTTGGGGGTGTTCTTTGCAGAGCACTGGAGCTGATAAAAATTCATAATCCTCAACCAGTGGGTTGCTGGAATCTGGGATGTTCTGAAGGGAGATACTGTTCTTCAGAATGGTGCTGATCACTCCTGGACTGGAGGGGTTCCACTGTAGCTGTTCCTGTGGGGGTCTGTTGCTGTGAAACACGACTTTGAGTCGTGTTCAGCAGTCATAAGAATGTGCTGCTGAACTTTTAAGTCTGTATGTGGGGGTTCTTTCATGGTGGTTTTAAATGTACCCATGGAACTGCTGAAACAGTGGGTCAGTAATGGTTTGATTTTTTTCCCCTCTTCCCACATTTACTGTGCAGTGGCAGTGTAATGCATATTACTGTCCCATTCACTTACTGACAAGTGGAGGTAGCTACTTGCTGTGAGGGTTAGATATATAAGAACTTTCCTCATTTTAAGGGCAGCTTTGAGCACGTAAAAATAGCCAGAGCCTCTTTCAGTGATTGTCAGAAATAAGAAGATTTGAGTTTTAAGTTTTCCTGTAACTAAAAAAACTGTGGAAAACCAAAGTTTGCTGTTTCCAGCATCTTGCTTTAGATTCTAAACTCCATGGCTCATTGTAAAAAAGCTCAGTAACAGAAAGAGTTAATGTTGCTGAGCTCCCCTGAAACCACAAATTATTATTATTTTGCTGGGAATTTTTCTGTGTAGGAAATGTCAATCATAGAAGGTGTTGCTGCATTAGATGGATTAAAGGTCTGACTCGTGTGTGGGAGGCTAAATGCTCTCCTGGATTTTATTTCAGTATCCATCAGGCTATTAGCTATCCTGTCTTAATCATCCAGAATAGAATGGGGGCCATGTGACTACTTTAAAATAAACATTAAAAAAGTCTGGAGCAGCAAGAAGTCTTTGGTAGCTAAGGGAAGTTGTGTTGTGTGTCACAGAGAGAATGGCAGACCTAGAGGGAAGGCTGTTGAGCTTTGTGGGTGCAAGTAACCACATAGGTGTAGTCCTTGCTGGTGGACTAAAAGATATTTCCAACAAAAACTTGATAGAGAAAATTTAGCACTGAACAGCTCAGCTGTCAGATTGAATTACTGCAGCTGGACCTTCATTTTTGGATTATATTCATCTCCTTTATAGTGTTTTACAATAGCTTTTTCTTTCCTGGGCAAGAAAGGTGTAACACATGGACAAATTGATGCTTCAGACAGAGGGAGACGAACACACCCTCCCTCAGTTTTGCTTTTGCAGCCTTGTAAGAACTGTAATCATGAACTTCCCAGCTGAGCTCAACTCTGTTTCAGTCATGAATGCTCATGTGGTGTAGCTGGGGTAAGGTTTGTCTGGATGGTGGGATTTGGACAGCAAGCATATTGTTTCAGGTTGCTGAAGGTTAAAGAAAAAAAGGCACAAATTACTGTCAAGCCCAAGTCTTGGGTGGGCAGGCTGCTGCTTGTGAGAAAAGGGGAAGAAGCAGGTGTGGAAAGAGAGCAGGAACTTCTAAGCAGAATGCTGTTACATGTGAATATGGCAGATAGAAAGGCTGATGCTGTAGACTCAGTAGAGTTTTGTGGGAGGATTACAGAATTAGACAAGACTAAAGTTGGTAGCTTGTTTATTTCCCATCTCACAACTGTATAAGTAAGCAGTCACACAAAGGTACACAGGTCTGGGGAAGTATCACAGGTATTGCGTTTGCACAGGCTGTGAAACAGGGAGCTGCTTTGGTAGCAAAGTTGTGCAAAAGAGGAGCTCAGGACGTGCGGAGAGGAGGGTGGAGTTGTGGGGAGGAAGATGACAGGAGTGTTAAGCAAAAAGAACAAGTAGCCTGCGTTTTTCCTAAAACCGCCAGCACTGCCAAAGCCATGGGATTTTAGCAGTGTAGCTGGTTAAGGATAACATGTGAGAGACATGGGCAGAAATGAAGTGTGGGGTGAGGTGTTAATCCCAAGGCAGGGCAAGCTGGGACTGCTGCGTGGCCAGAAAGGAGCACCCTTTGGCTTCTCCTGAGCCTGGAGCTGTGGCTGTGAGTGTAAAGGCAAGTGAATCCAGGTTGTTCTGGAGCGTGTGATCCCCCACCCTGTGTAGCACTCAGGGAGTCTTGTGCCCTGTCACACTGCTGGCTGTCACTGTGCACTGGCTTCACTCTGAAACGATCTCACTTGATTTGTCTCTGCTGCTTGGAAGATTGATCCCCTCCCTTGCACTTTCAACCTAAAAGAACACCACTGTGCCCTCAGTGGATTAAAATCAGCTGAAACCACTTCAAGTTTTTTTCAGTGAACTTCTCTCCATTATCAGAGCTCTTATTCTTTAACCCATTACTTACCTGAGGATCTGATCCTACAGCTTTGCTTAGGCTGGGAGCTCTGTGACAGCGAGTTTCTGCTGGTAGGCTGGGACAGGTCATTCTGGTTGAGGCTTGGGATGGTACTGATGGGGTACTGCTGATGTCAGGAGCAGTGGCAAGTCCTGCTAACTTTGGTAGAAAACATGAGTAGCAGCAGGTACAGGCTGAGGCTCCAGCAGCTGAATGAGGTGTGAATAGTTCCCTTCTTAAAGCTTTAGGAATTACTGTACTACCACAGTCGCTGTCCAGAACGACATTGCAGTGCCATAACCCTCATTAGCAGGTATGTGGTGAAACCTGACAGGAGCATTAAACAGCTGAAGTAAAACCAGTAAAATAAGAATTCAGCACTTCGCTGGGTGTTGTCCCCCACAGGTGCTGACAGTTCTCCAGCAGTCTGGGTGGTGAGTGGTCCAGGACTTGTTCCACACACTAACACATATCAATCTTGGCACCAATTTCTTCAATGCTGCTCTTTCCTGAGGATGTGCTTCCACTACAGTAAATTTGGAGGAGCACAGCCTGATATTCTGACAAATATTGCAAAAGAGGAAAGACCTTTTCATTTAGAAACACCTAATTTTGGTCATTCTGGCATCCCAAGAAAAGCAGCATTTTGTGCTGGTCCTGGATGAGAGGCTGCCGTGCTGGCTTTGTGGAGCAGTGTCCTGGGTGGTGGGAATCACCTGCAGTGCACACAGGGGCTGGCCACAGACAGGGCTCCCCACCACCCCACAGCTCTTCAGGTTACAGACAAAACAGAAAAGATACTAAAGGCTGCCTTGGGGGAACTTTTCTCTCCATGGGAATTGATCTAGTTGTTATTGTGAGTTAGTACAAAGACAGTTTGTTCTGGTTTTGATGCTCTCAGAACTTGGCACAGTGTATACACCCACCTTGTCTGAATCAGTTATTTCAAACTAATAGTTCAAAATAGAGATTTTTGTTTGTTTGTTTTCAGTCACAGAAAGCAGAAACTTCATTATTTAGCAGCCATTGGTTCTCTTCACATTAGTGATAGTTTCAGGAAATCATTTTTTGATTGATTCACATGCTTTACATAAGTCTGTGTCTTACTTGACCAAGTGAAAACTGGGCAGATTTATCCTCTTCAGAAACATGGCTGTTTTCACAAGAAGCTTCCTCAGTGGATAGCTACAGAAGGAGGGGGACAGATAGAGCCAAAAACCCAAACCACCCCTGAATCAAATCTTGTCCACTTCGTGTAACTCAGTGCAGAACTGCTTTTCTGAGCAGTTAGGATGGTTCTACCCCAAAATCCAGAAGGATTGGTGCTGTTCAGACTCATGTCAAGAGCTTCAGTTTGTTCTGGGTAAAAATTTGCATTTCTGGCCCATGTAGAAAGTTCATCTCCAGAGCTCCTCTGACGTCTCACAGCTCTGCTTCATATGTCAAATGGGCACTTCTTGTGGATGTGGCAAGACTGTGCTGTCCATTTAGCTCAGAGAGCTTGTCAGAGGCTGTACTTGTGTTGCTCATTGCCAAAAGCCCCGTTATCACAAGTTTAGCTGATGCCCTTGTGAAGCTGCACCCCGTGTACACACACCCTTCCTGGCCTACACACGTTCTCCCTGGTACTGCTCATTGCCAGAACAAGGGAACTCCATTTGAAATCCAGATGCCAGGGTGAAAAAGAAGGAAATTTGGGGTTGGTTAATGTGTTACCAACCTCTCACACACAAGTACGCTTTGCCATTCAATGAGGAACTTGGGGGATGACTTTTTTGAGTGTCTCATAACACCAATGGAGTTTGCACATGATCTGCTACACAGTTTGTTCAGGAAGCACTGTGGGTTGTGGTGAGAAAATCAGGAAGCAGTGCTGGGTAGAAAACAAAGGGTGATGTTTGGTGATGAGATCCTCTTCAGAGCAGGCTGTGGGTGGGTGTGTTGAGCACAGTGGGTTTGAGCCTTACCTGTTCAGCTGTGTCACGTCTTCTGGCCCGATCAGCTGCTGTCCAATCTCAGTCTCAATGGGGGATCTGTTCCCAGCTCCAAACGTGGCATGTGAGATTAGAGTCCCAGCTGAGGACACTTTTTAGGAAGAGTACTGATAGTGAAGAGAATGTATTTCTCTCCACCAGAGGTAAGTAACTGGTCAGCAATGTTGTCTGACCAGAGCAGTCTGGTTTGGCACTAAAGAAAACATTTCTGTAAAAAGCATTGCTGTAAATCATTTGTGCGCACTGGTCAGATGTGAAATCACTTCTGGAAGAGCTGGTAAGCGATGTGAGACTTTAAACCACTTGGTGCTTATCTCCTGTTCAGAGTATTGCTACCCAGATGAGGAATAGTAGCCAGTTCCTGTGTGTGTTCTCAGCAGGAGAGGGCAGGGGCATTGTTGCACTTCACAGCTGCTGCACTCCAGGGTCCTGTGCCGCTGTCACCCCATTCCCCTCAGGAGAAGAGGTGAGGAGTTTGAGTGACTTCAATGTAGATGTAAAGCTGATTGTATTAAGCAACATCGTGGCTAAAAAAACAGATCAGATGTTGCAGCAAGGGGCACTTTGAATGGATGTCAGCACTTCTTTCACGGTGGGGACAGTGAGGTTTTGTTCAAGGAGGCAAAGAGGTTCTTGGGGGAATCCCCACCCTTGAGCACATTCAGCCAGATGAGATCATGAGAAACCTGTTGCATCTTCACAGCTGATCATGCTTAGAGGGTGTGTGCATGTGTTGTGGGGGGAACTGTCCTCTCCCCGACTTACTGCAAAGCTGACGATAAGCTCAGAAAATTGATCATTTCAGTGCCAACAGATTTTCTTCCTGGCCAATCAAAACAAACACGCCATGGATAAGGAAAGGAGGGTGCAGACACTGAGGGTAAACAGAAACGTGACAATTGCTTTGTGTTACCGAGGGGTGCTGGCTGTAACTGATGTACCTGTGTGTGTCTGTGTCTGTGTGTCAGGGCTTCTCGTTGCCATCTCTCTCTCTCCACCTTGCCCGTGTCTGTCTCTGTGTGTCAGTCCCCTCGGTGTGTGTTGGGGTCTGTGTTGCAAAGGTCATTATGCCAACAGTGATGTAGCTGCCTGATCTCAGTGGCTTCTTGGAGTGTTTTTTTTTTCTGTTTGGGTTTGTTTTTTCCCTGCCCCTCCCCCAGTGTTGACACATGTCCTCTCCAGTGCAGAGTCCCCTGTGCCCGCTCTGGTCCAGTCCCTGTGCCCGCTCTGGTCCAGTCCCTGTGCGGGGTGGTTGCTCTGAGGGCGATGGGTTGTGGTCACTGCTGGAGCTGCAAGAGCAGAATCTCTGCAGTGACTTTGGAGAAAAACAAGTTCACACAGACATGCTGGAGACAAACACAGGCTGAGAGTCACTTTTACAAGTTTCTTTATGAAATTAAATGTTGCCCCTGGTCTGGGGGGAAGATATAGTGCAAGAAGGACTTTGTACATGCTACTGAATTCAGATATCCCTGGATGACCAGACTTTGGTCAGCTACAGCATCAACAAACACTGGATTTCTGAGCTCTGCAGACACTTAGTGCTCACTCACACCAGTGTCGAGTTGGAACGAGCAGGAGTCTTCCTTCCACTGTCACGGGATGTCTCCTAAGCTAGGGAATTCAGTCAGTATGGCTTCTAACTCTCACTATGGTAAGGCAAATCTTTCCTTTTGCTAACCAAGGTTTAAATTAATTCTTTTTGGCCACGGTTTGAAACTTGGGTACTTAAAGGAGGCTCCTTATGCCAAATTTAGGCCTTTTTAAAAAGCGGTTTTCCGTTTTTTTAAAGGTGTCAGTAACACGCCTTGAATGTGAAGGTCTGTTGGAGTTTGCATAACAATCGCGTTTCAGAGTTGAACAGCAGACTCTGACTTCTGGGAGCTGGGTTTGCAAATATTGACCTTTTTTTTTAAAAAAAAAAAAAAAGAAAAATTAAACAGACAAAACAGGCATCAAGTTAACAACATCTGACAAGAACAATTACAGACTTACAAAATACACAGTTCTGATTTTTACCATAAATAAACACATTACAAACAATGAGCATTTTCATTGGCCAGGAAATATGGCAGAACGATGGAGAGACGAGAATCTAAGGAATTGAGTACGGTATTAATTAGGCACATTTTTCTCTAACTTATGTAACTCAAACCCACTAGAGAGATTCTTGAACTTGACTCATGCTGCAGGTTGGCACAGTTTAATGTACGATACCGTTCACCAGTGGTGTTGGACTAGAGGAGAGGAGAGGTCACAGTGCTGTACTCACTGTGTCTGTCTGAGGGCCTGCAGAGGCTGAGTTAGTTGGGCCTGTGTAGGAGGGTCATGTCTCTGAGAAATGTGGGGCAGGGGCAGAGCAGAAGGGCTGTTTGTCCCTGCACGGCCAGTGTGTCATGTCAGTGACTCTGAACTGTTCTGAGCACGGCAGTGGGTCTGTCAGCTGCCACCCCCTCTGACAGCTGCCAGACAGCAGTGGTGGGCACAGTGGGAAGGAGTGAGTCCAAGTACAGCTGACAAGCAAAATCTCTTCAGCTGAAGCGCATGAGGCTCCCTCCTGTGAGCTCCTCCTGGAGCTCCGCCTCGTGGGCGCTGTGCAAGGCTGGCTCTGCGGCACTGGCACAAATGCACACGCAGTGTCTCACCCCGGAGCCAGGGCGGTCAGTCGGGCTGCAAAATAAATAGGGAAGGCAGGAGCACATGTGCCATCCTCTGTAAACAAAGGATTGGAAGAACCTGGGCTCCACCTCCCAGGACTGACGGATAAAGTGCTTTCTCAGAAGGGGTTCAGGCACAAACGCGGGGCTGCCCCTATTTCCGGAAGGGCGTCAGCCTGCTGATGTTCTGCCAGAAGTTCGAGGGCTTGCGCTTGGGCTCTGCCAGCATGAAGACCTGCTGCTGAGGGAGCGTGGTGGGCAGGGTGGGATGCTTCTGCCGCATCAGGAAGTCGTAGTAGGGCCTGGTGACAGCTGGGATGACAAGGAGAGGGGAAGCAGGTTAGTTGAGCACAGCTCCCTTCCCTCCTCCCGCTTCAGTTCCTGTTAAAGCTGCAGGGCCATGAATTGGGTTTGTCTTAGTCTGACCCTTCCCTTGGTTTATCCCTGCATTCAGCACTGCTTGTTAGGATTAGAGCTGATGCTGTGGAAGTTCCAGAAATGTGCCACGTAACTGCCAGGTGTTGTGCCAACACGACAGCAGGGCTGAAGAGCTGCAGCTCATCACCAACTTAACTGGTGCCTTTGCCTGTGCTGGGAGAAGCAACTGCTGTGCAAGTGCTGCTGTCACCTGTTCCAACATCCTGGGCTGCATTTTTAAGTAGGAATGGTCAGTGCCTGCGCAGTGGACAGGGTTAGCTTGTGGGGCCACCTCTAATGCTTTGTCCCAAGGGCTTTGCTCTGTTAGAGAGGTCTTGGCCTCCTTCCAAACTTCCCTCTGTTTGCAGCCAAATCTTATTTCTGACCTGTTTTGACATTTAGCCGAGCTTTCTTACTGGAGACGTGGCTGGGATTTAAGTGCTGGCTGGCACCACCAAGAGGAAGTGGTTTCCTCCGTGGGTCCAGAGGAAAGCAAGTGAACAGAAGGGGAAGGTGGCATCACAGGGCTCTTTTCAGCCAACAGTGCTGTGGGCACAGGAACCTTCCTGTTTGTTGCTTGAGTTCACACTCCCCTGGCAGCTGCTAAATTGTCCTTGTGTCTGACAGGTTGAATGATCAGCTCTGTTCGAGCATGGTACCTACCCCTGGCACTCTGCCCAAACTGCAGTTTCAGAGCATCTTCCCCAGGCAGGAACAGTCCCTGCTGCAGTCACCTCTGTGATTCCCTGTGTGTCATGGGGATTGCTCCAAAGCTTGCCTTTGGCCACCCTGCTGGGAGAGCCTGTGTCCCCGGGCCAGGCTGTGCACTGATCAGGGCTGATGCTTTCTGGCACAGCGCTCAGCGATTATGTGCAAAGCAGCTCTCCTGGAGTTAGGAACAGTTTCCTGACTCCAGCCATCTGAATCTACCAGGAACTGTAGTGCAGATTGTCACATCAGAGCTCACCATCTGGCCTTCTCCAGAGCTTGTTAATGCCACTTCATTGGAACTCTTCCCATGTAGTAAATACTGAGCCACCCCCCACTGTCACAGCGTTCCTGTGCTCAGATGTGACTCACCCTTGGGTTTCCCAGCGTGGTGCTGCTTGCTGGCATTCAGCATGGCCTGCTTCTTCTGCACCTCGGTGATTGAAAAACCTGGAAGATAAAACAGTTTGTCAGCAGCAGGTCCTCGTTTGGTGTCTCAGAGGAAACACGGAGGAGGCAAATGCCTGAGGTGAGAGGGCACAGTTACTGCCAAGGCTGGCAGGGGCACAGCCCTCTCCCCCCAGCCTGCACTGCACAGCTTTCCCCACCTCTCATGCCAGGTTTGCTGCCTGCTCTTTGCCCCACACTTTGCTGGATGAAGAAGCCAGCCCAGACCAGTTTGGCTGAAATCTTACGAGATCACTCTGGTCTGAATTAAGCAGGATTTGGACAAAACAATGCAAATCCTCCTGCACAGTGAGAGCCCTTGGCTGAACCTGTTCTCTACAGACACCTCCAAGCTGGGCACTTACACTGTACTGCAGAACTCTGGAAGCTGTATGTAACATATTGACCCTTCTCAACCCTGCCTGCACTCATTAAAGACACATCAGCCTCCCTGGGGACGTGCTGCAGTGTTGGATCATGGTGGTTTTTTAATTGCACAGATTGATCCAGAATGTGCGATTCAGCAGCCCAGAGCTGGAGTGCAGCATGGGCTGGCTTCCCTGCCCCTTCTCTCCCAGGCATTGGCTAGTGGGTAAAAAAAGAGGAAAACCAAACAAAACCCCCCCACTGTCTCCCAGCATTGCTCTTTCCATACCTGTCTCCTGGTCGAGCTGCACCTGCCTCCTTTCGTTCTCAAACGCCTTCAGCCAGCGCTGCTTCTGCTCAGGCTTCTTTGCACAGAACAAGTGGACTTCCTCAGTGTCTCGGCAGTGCAGCTTAAATGCATTTTTCACACTGATATTGAAGTCCTTGTCCTTCCCATCTTCTACATCCAGTATTTCCATGTCATCCATGTTGATCCGACTCTTATAATACAGGATGTCCCGGCGCAGGAGGTCCTGTGAGAGAGACCACAACAGATGGGCTGTTTCCTGTCCTAAACATTCATTTTCTCTGAGGTGATGTATTTAATCTTCCCGGTAGTCATTACAGTCCTGTAAAAAATCCTGAATACTGGATTTGACCGTGTGGAATTGCTGAGCTGCTGTGGGCACTGTTGGCAGTGAGGGCCCCTGGGGGCAGGACAGGTGGCATCTGCTGTTGGGGGGTATCAGCCGCCCTGAAGATCTGAATGAGAAGCAAGCTTGGGTATTACACATTATCCCAAATCCCTCATTTCTGTCCTCTGACAGAAAACACTATTTGAATCCTCCAGTTCCAGTTAGAAAGAAAAAAAAAAAAATCCTAATTAGTTCTTGTTTTTTGACAATGAAAAGGAACTTTGAGAACAGCGATTTTCACACCCAGAGCTACCTGCAAAACGTGGAATGTGCAAAAACTAATTGGCACATTCAGTTTTGAAATTCCAGAGGAAGGTACCTTTCACTGGCTCCAAGAGGGAAGATTTCATTACTTAGGTTATGAAAAATAGCATGGGCTGTATTTACAGACTTACATGTGATTTAATATGGTCTTACTGACTGCCAAGGCCCACAGCTCTTCATCGAAGCTGCAGGTGCCCTCTGACTCTGATACTCATCTCAGGTGACAGCACAGTTGAAAAATAAGGTATTTAAAAGAAAATATGTGAGAATACTCGAGTTGTATAAAATATCTCCCACACCAACCCTAGAAGCAGTGCAGTGCTCTCCTCTTTCAGTATGAGAATTAGGCTGGTAGCTCTTTGCTGTGCTCAGGGCACAGAACACCCCAGGACATCAGAGAAAAGACTGCAGTGAATGCACAGGGAGGTCTCAGTGCCAGGAGCACACGGTGTCAGTAAGTATTAATGACACAAAGGAGTGGAGAGGGAGCTCACTTAAATTCCTCAGCACTGTGGTAGCACTGGTGCCTGGCTGGGGTTACCTTCTTGCAGCAGACAAGCTGGTGATCGAAGAGGAAGAACATCCTCTGTTGGCTCTTGGCTTGAGGGTGGGAGATTTTGGCTAATTCCCCAGAATAGATGAGTTCTGAGCTCCTGACCAGGACATCTTCACCCTGGGAACAGCACAAAGAACAGGTTGGTCTCAGCCATCCGAAAATGGGGAGCAAGAAATAAGCCCGTAGTCTCAGAGGAGAACCTCGGCTTGTGTGAGGGGCCTGAATTCCTGCTGACAGAATTCTTCTGGGAATGAGAGGCAGCCTCTGTGCTGAAGGACAGTTCCTGTCACAGCAGAGAGACACTGTGCCCTTGGCACCCAGGGAATGAGAATGGAATTTGAGGAGAAGAATAGCATGTTAACTGAAAAAAATCTCCTTTTCCAGGGAGTCTGCCTAGGGAAGCTGCCTCACTCCACACAGAAAGGAAGCACATAAGCAGAGAGCTGAGAATTTAGCCTGACATCCTAGGGCAGGGAGGCAGTGGGGTTTTAGTGAGTCTAGGATTTAGAAAATTAGTATTTTGCTTCTTTGGTTTAGCAATTTTTAAAATGAGTCTACAGGGAACCTTGGCTTCCTCTGTCACTGTATCACAGCTTATGTTTCTGTAACAATAAGCTGGCTTGTTAAGCATTAAGCGACATTTCTCATCTTGAGAGTTTGAAACCATTCATGATAAAATGGGGGGCAAGATAAAAATAATAGAATTTCACTGATCTACATGCTAATTTCATTCTGCAAGGAAAAAGTAAAAATCCCAGGGAACATGCCAAGGCAGCTGGTCTAGCTGGGTTATGTGCTAGACCTGTTCAGTTGTACTAAAAGGTCACACCTGTTTAAATGAAAAATAAAAACCACAAGGAGGGTCAGGTCAGAGAACGGAGAGAGGGCTGGATAGGGAGATCTCACTGTAAGCAGAAGCTGTTGGAAGGGCAGAAGAGGATCAACATGGAACAGCTGATTCCCGGGAAGGGAAGTCTCTCACCTCCCAGTCCTCTATGGAACTCTGCCACTGAGCAATTTTGTCGATGTTCTCCAGCCGCCGCTTCCTCTCGTTGATGAGCCGGGCCACGTTTTTCATGGCGTTCAAGGCAGCCTCGACATCTTTGAAATCCCTGGGGATGGGCAGAGGTGTCAGACATGGCAAAATGGCACATGTGCCTTGTACCTGCACTGCGAAGGAGGGCAGCCCTTCACGGCCTGGAGCTGGGCACTGAAACAGTTCCACTTGCAGTCTGTGCCAGCTGTGCTGTGCTGGAATTGGAGGCACAGCTTGTCAGGCCATGCTGGTTTTGAGGCACAGATTATGGGCCTCTAACAAATACAGGCCAAATTTGGGAAAGGGAAGGGGCTAAGTCATCAAGTTTAGCCACAGAGGTGTAAATCTGAGTTGTTGGAAGAATCTCCAGGGCTTTCCAAGCCTCATTTTCTTTCTGCAACATAATACATTCATAATGCCGCTTTTTCCACCCAGGGGTTGATCTGTCATGCAGAGGTGAGGCAGTTCAGCATTAACTGGCTTCATTTCAAATAGAAGCCGATGGCTTATCTGGAAGGGTAGGACAGAAGCTGATCTACCCTCCCCCACACACCATCTGCTGCCACCAGCTACTTCTGCTGAGTTCAGAGGGAAGGAGCTGAGCTGCACCACTTGGCTCTAAGGCAACTTTCAAAACATCTGTGCACTGCATTAAGGAGCTTTCTGCTCCGAGGTCAGCTTCAGACAACATGCTTAGAGATTTAACAAGACATGCTTAAAACCATTCTGGGAAATGCCAGGGCTGCAATTAGGAAGGTGAAATTAAGCCAAGCCACAATGGACCAATATCAACACTTTAATACAGATTTTTCATGTTTTATTTCCGTAGCTGATTATTTCAGATGCTTGATTAAGCGACAATTACTTGAGCCAAAGGCAGGGCCTTCACCCTGAAACTGAGCAATGGATTTGGAGGCTTTGGAGCTGGTGCTGACAGAGCACTCAGTGTGTATGGCTTGGCTGCTGCAGGCCACGACCTCCCACTGGTGAGGTGTAGATATGTGGGCATTTTGGGGTATCTTCAACCAGGGCTTCTGGAGACCTGCATCAGAAACATGTAACTCCAGAGTATCTATGTGCTGGTATCCCAGACAGGTGAGTTAAATAAAATAGAAAAGTGCCATTATAAGGTGGACCTTGTAACTCCAGATCTGCAACAGACAGGAAAGCCCTGTGCTACTGTAGTGGAAAATTACATATTTGACAGAAAAGTACTTTCTTTCCTGGTTTCCACAAGGTAACCCACGAGAACTCTGGTGTTGGCTGCTGTTGGTAACTGCCCTCCATACAGGGCTCTGCACAAATCCATTTCCATGAGCCCAGCCTGGCTCCTGCCCTGCCCCTGGCTGACCCACCTGTGCTGGGGGTTGGTGTACTTGAGCAGCTCAGCCAGCTGCAGTGGGTACTTGCAGATCTTCTGCACGGGGGTCAGCAGGAACCCGTCCAGGGAGATGTCGATCATCTTCTGCAGCAGCCGGCAGGCCTCAAAGAAGTAAACGTACTTGTTGACCTTGGTGAGGCGGGACAGCTCCATGCAGGCGTTGGGGTGGTTGTTGCAGTACTCAGAGTAGATCTGAAACTCTGTTTGCTGCAAGGGAAACAGAGGGATTTAGTGGCCGTGCTGCTCAGGGGGATGGCCTGGTCAGACTCCTGTGGGTGTGTTCCCTGTGTAGGTCCTACTCCTACTCCTGTATCTCTGTCTGGGGATTTGCATCCTCCCCAGACTCTGAAGCCCGGAGGCCTGGAGCTGGGGATGATGTTACAGGTTACGGCACGTGCAGCTTCTCTGAGAGACCAGGATGTTCCCATGTGCCCAGCTGAACGCTCCGAATGACTGGATCAGCTGCTGCTGATCCTGCACTGACTTGGAAATACCATCCTGTAAACTCAGGTGCAGCTCAAAATTCTGAAATCTTCCTACATTTTTGCCAAGGTCTGGCAGCGAGTGTAGTGTTCAGAAGCTGAGGCACTTTAAAAACGCTCTTTCCACAGCCCCAAGAGTTACAGGATGTTTAGGTGGGAGCAGGGGCAGTGCTTGAACAGGGTGGAGGGGGTGGGGTGTGGCAATTAGTGTTGGTGGGTGGGTCTTTATAAAGAAAGCTTCAGTTGTGTCAGATCAATTTCTAAATTCTCTGGCTTTATCCATGCTCAGCTACCCCTTTCCCATAAAGTAAAATTTACTTACATATTCCAAGAAGCATGAGCCAACCTCACTCAAATGTGGGTGGTCCTTGTTAAATTTCTTCTCTAGTGCTTTAACGAATTTCTTCTGGCACCTGTAGATGTCCTCAATGTTCCCAAAGATTGTCTTCAGCTGTTCTTCTGTAAACATGTCAGCTCTCTTGCGGCACTGCTTAATGTAGCCCTAGGAGGAGACCAAACTGTAAACCCTCCTGGCCAAGTGCTCTGTGGCCTTTGGTTACCAACAGAAAAGCCCAGGGACTGCAGTCAGGTGTGCACCAGGGTCCTGCACCCCCTTCCTGCATAGGTTGTTATTTCCTCTAATGTCACCCCAAACAAGGTAGAAATAGAAGACAAGCCAAGACACAGACACTGCCCTGAAGGATCCTGTAACCCACACAGAGCTGCTTTCCCTCCTGTTGAAAAGGAGGGAAATGTGGCTGCAGGCTATGGGATGTTCTGAACCCAGCACTGACCCACTGATAGATTCAGGCCAATTAAACCCAGCTGTGGATGTGCTTTGGGTGCTTGTGCGGGAAGATGCCTGGTTGACTCAGGGAGGAGGAGTTCACCAAGGACGTGGGGACACTGCTTGTTTGTATGTGGGTGCTGCTTTGCCCCAGCTACTCTCCTGGGAGCCACTGCACTTTTGTACCATCTCAGTGAAGAGCTGTGTTCCTGCAGAACTCCCCAGTTACCTTCCCTAGGACCAGTGCATCTGTTTTAGGAGAGGTGTCACAGTACTCAGCAGATTTGCAAGTGAAGGGCCCATTTGGCTGAGCATCCGCCAGTTGTTTTGATCAGAGCACGACTTGCCTGAAGGCTGGAATTGCTGATTATATTAGCTCAGAACAAGTATTAGAGAGGACAGCAAGGCTTAGACATTTACTTTTCTCTGGCTTGGGAAATTCAATTAATTCCATTTAATCAGAGCACAAGTGAGTGCTCCAAATGCAGAGGCATTTGGGATATTGCTGTAATGAATTGTCTTCTGTTTTCTGAGCATGTAATGCCATCCAGCAGAGCAGGCTCTGAGGGAAATACAGTCTCATTTTCAGGAAAATTACCTGCTCAGGGTCCCTTTCTGGGCAAGAAGGGACATACTCCATTATCCTTTGGGCAAGTTCTTACAGTCCCTTCCCCCTTTATTCCCTTACCTCGCAAATGTCCTTCAGGTGCTTGATGTAGTCTCTCTCTGTGCTTATGATCTCGTTGATGACGTTGGTCCTCATTTGGTCTTTGGTGGTCTGTCCCATCCCGAAGCGCCGGGAGTCGTCCTCTCTGCCCCCCTCCACCTTCAGGGGATAATCTTCCATGGGCTCATCCTGGTTCACTCGCAGCTGTGCCAGGCACACAAGATGGTCACAGTTTGTAGTGCTAAACACAACTCTGCCAAGGCATTTTGGGACAGTCAGGCTGTTTGAATGGCAGACTAGGACTGAGTCTGGGTTGGGTGTGAAGAGGGCTGCTACCTGTATATTGCTCCTAGGCTATCTTCCCCTGGGGGAAGGTATGGCCAGAGTGTCAGTCTGGGGAGGGTACTTTTCAATCCACATGGCAGCTGCTCCCACTGTGTGATATGGGTGGTTTTAAGCAGGCATCTCTTGTGGACAGAAGTATTCCAGGAAGACTACATATAAAACCAGGACAAAATGGGTTTATCAGGTGAAATTTCTCAGGTATATGAGGGGGCACTTCGGGAGGGAGGGGGAAACCAGTAAATGGTTGGGGGTTATCTAGCTTTACTGTTCTCATGCTACCAATAACAGAGGACTCTCGGTCTCTGCTTCCCAGGACTATTTAAAGAGAGTTCGTTGTTAATATAAAAGCAGATACAGCTGCCAGCAGGCACATATATGACATTCCAGGGCTTTGTGGGACTGCCGGTCCCTTCCCGGTGCCCATCAGATGGCAGCACAGCCCGAGCAGAGGAACACCAGCCTTGCAGCCACACCGTCCCAGAGTCCGTTTGGTAAACAACTGCAAAGGACCCGAGCTAAAGCAGCCAAGTGTTGCTGCATTTCACTCCGGAGCTTTCTTTTCTGTAGCACTATTGTAGCTCTCCAAGTGCCCACGAGAATATTTTGACCGTGACTCAAATGATCAATCTCAGCACAGAGAAAAGCGAGATATGAAGTAGAAACACACATAACTAGGAATTTTTAGTACAAAGACACAGAACCGCTTTAAGCTTTAAATGCAGCTTCTTCTAGGCACAATTACTTACCCCTTGATACAAGTACAGCTGCATGCAACACCAGTGCTCACTCCCTCCCTTGTCAACATGGGCCCAGATTACATGTACTCACTATTTTACTGCTGCAGCCCTCAAGAGGAGCAATCCCGGTTTGCCTTCACTGTGAGCAGAACAGCATCGGCAAGTCTTAAACTCAGACCTTGGCCTGAAGCTTGTGTGCAGTAACTGAGAGACCTGCAGACTGACCTAAGCCCCCAGACCAGCCGTCCCTCCCCGCGGGGAGCGTGAGACCCCGCGGTAATTAGCAGGAAATCTCTGCTCGGATGCTTGAATAAGTGTTGTAATCACTCTGCTAAAAGAATTTGTTACTCTCCATCCCTAATGGCTGGTACGAGTCCGCTTTCCCCTGGGATGTCATCGCAGGTTTTGCCAGCCAGGACAATTCAGCTTGTCAGTAACATGAAAGAAAATAAGGCCCATGTTTCGACCGAAAAAAAAAAAACCCAAACCAAACCAAAACAACCATAAAAAGCAGTGCTGTCCCCACCAGTGCTGAGAGTTTGATCCTGGCAATTGCAAAAAATTTTCACTGTTTGTATTAATTATCCAGCTGACACCCTCTCCTGCAACCTGTAACAAAGTATTTCAAAACTTTTATAGCACTATCTGCCCCACTTCTCCAAGGACACCAGATCACCTCCTGTCACCTCCTTTCATGCTTCACCTGGTTTTGGGTCATTTGTGATCTCAAGTGACCTGGATAAAGAGCTAAAGGGCTGAGAATCTCTGCCCTTAGGCACCTAATTGCCTTTGCACTACTGAGGAGCTGCCCTGAGGTGGTGAAAGCGGTCAGGCACCCACACACAGAGTCACAGCCTGGAGAAAGGAAAAAAGCCTTTCTCTCACAGCAGGAAAGAGGGGCACAGTGGTTACCACAGTCCTGGTTTGCCCCCCACTTGCCCTGAGAGTTCAGATGTGTTTCAGAAGCTCTGCTGGAAATGAACCCAGCCTCTGCAGGGAGCAGCTGGGACTGTCTGGGCTCTGCTGCACAGCTATTTCCATGTGGGTTTTGTAGCTGGCACCAAGGGAGAACCTTGGCCCAAAAGCTCTGAATGCCTCATATTGCCCTACATCAGTTGTCCCACATGACCTCCAAGACATTTGCTGTGTTTCAGTGGCTGGAATACAGTACTGGAATACACTGGAATACAGTGGGATAGCCCATCAGCCTGGTGGGCTAAGGGAAGGTGCATGTGTGAGTCGGGTGGTCACATATGTGGCACTGCACTGGCCCCAGCAGCAGATGGAGAAAGCTGAATTTGGTGCCATGCACATCCATATTATCCAAGTGGACAATGAAGACCTCTGCCAGCTGCATCTGGGATTCCTTTAGGAGGGTGTTGCTCGCTCCTGGCAGGGGATGCCACGTGCTTGGGCCAAAACTAAGCAATACCCGTACCTGTAAAGCAGGAGCCCAGGCTGCCACCACCCTCCCCAGCTGGCACAGCTCAGCTTAGCTCCAGTGGGGAGCTGAACCACCCTTGCCATGATTTACCTATGCTGAGGGAGTTCACAGCGAGGCAGCTCAGCCAGCAGAGCACAATGTAGACATAGAGGAATAGAATCATAGAATCAACCAGGTTGGAAAAGACCTCTGAGATCATCAAATCCAACCCTTGATCCAACCCCACCGTGGTTCCCAGACCATGGCACTGATGCCACATCCAGTCTCATCTTAAAAACCTCCAGGGATGGTGAATTCACCTCCTCCCTGGGCAGCACATTCCAATGGCTGATCACTCTCTCTGTAAAAAATTTCTTCCTGATATCCAACCTAAACCTCCCCTGGCACAGCTTAAGATCAAGCCCTCTTGTCCTTCTGATGGTTCCTGAGAGAAGAGACCAACCCCCACCTGGCTACACCCTCCTGTCAGGGAGTTGTAGAGAGTGATGAGGTCACTCCTGAGCCTCCTCTTCTCCAGGCTAAACAACCCCAGCTCCCTCAGCCTCTGCTCACAGCACCTGTGCTCCAGTCCCTTCCCCAGCCTCGTTGCTCTTCTCTGGACCCGCTCCAGCACCTCAATGCCCTTCCTGAACTGAGGGGCCCAGAACTGGACACAGCACTCCAGGTGTGGCCTCACCAGCGCAGAGTACAGGGGAAGGATCACTTCCCTGCTCCTGCTGCCACACTGTTCTTGATGCAGGCCAGGATGCCATTGGCCTTCTTGGCCACCTGGGCACACTGCTGGCTCATGTTCAGCTTCCTGTCAATCCAAACTCTGAAGTAACAGAATAGTAACAAGACATGTTGAATCAATTGTCTCTTGCAGGGAAAGTGCTCAAGGAGTCACCACAGAACATTAAACATGGAGAAAATGAAAAAACACTTGATGCTAATGGAGAGGCACAAAGAGAGATGAAGCTCTTACTCGAACAAAGCTGGCTGGAAACCAGCCTTCGCTGTCCAGGATCCTCCCCCACCACCACTCCTTGTTGGTCGCATCCATCACTTCAATGACATCGCCGGCCTTGAATCCCAGCTCCTGGTCGTCCATGGTGACGTGGTCCCACAGGGCTTCTGCGTACACCACGCTGCCATCGCTGATGAGCTGTGGGAGAGCAAGTCACACTGTCAGTCCCTCAGGAAAGCGGCACCGTGTGCCCAGTGGCTGCAGCTTGGGCACCACCAGCCACGTGCTGGTGTCTGTGCACTCCCCACGAGCAGAGTGGAAAGGAGCTGGGGCTCGTCTGGCGGGTGCTTTGGCTGACCCTGCTCTCAGCAGCATTTGTTCAGAATCACCTGGACACAGGAAAAACATAATCATAAAAATACCCAAGTGTAATGCTCTGGAATTCACACCGGTGACTTTGCCTCAGCCAGCAAAGAGGGCTCAGTGCTACCTTGTTTGTGGAGGATGCTCTGGTGCTGCCAGTACAGCCCTGCTTTTGAAAGCCTTGAAATCAAACCCTGAGCACCAATATTTGGAGACATACCTCAGAGCTACTCTGGGATGGACAGAGACTGAAGTCTTTATTTAAAGTGGTTAAACTTAGCAGTTAAGCTGCTTAGAATAAGTCTGCTGGAGAGTTTAGCAATTACACTGAGGAACAACAGTTATTTACTACATGCCCCACAAAGGTCCTACTCTAGGAAAAACAGAACCCCCAACATTAACAAAACCAAACTAAAACCAAGCCCCACAGGGTTAGAAGCTGAAAGGGGGCTCCTGAGCACAGTGTTGCTGTGCCTGATGCCACTCTTGACTATTCACACCTTAGCTGTGGTGTAGCCAAGTCACAGTGGTGTATTTGTGAGCTGGTCCTGCTGGCCACTACAGCAGGAGTGCCTGCCTGATGCCACCAGTGTATCAGGTCAGTCCCCTTTGGATTTCAGCAACTACAGAGCACATGCACAGAGTTCTTGGGGCCTGAGACTGAGCACCAAGGATTTTCCCGAGAAGGCAGAGTGTACACTGGAGTCCGGCTAAACAGGACTTGGCCATTGTGGAGTGGCAGTGAAGCCCTGTTTTTCTCCAGGAAAATGGTGCAATGATGAATTATGGGAAGACAATGTAAAGACAGTCTATGAGGCTCAAGGGAGAAAGAGGAAAGCTGTACAAACCCCACTCTTCCTGGTATATCTCCCAGCACTGAGCAGTGTCACCACAGCACATAAAACACGAGCCATCCCCACACCTTGGGCTGCTCAGTCACCCGTAGTTATCTGGGTTACTGGTTGTGCCTCTCCACAAAGGAGAGGGAAGCATGTTGTAAAGGAACGTCAGGATAATCGCGCGCTGAGTAAATCAGAAGAGAGTTAACGAGGCATTTGAAAGAAAATTCAAATGCAGTCTGCCTTTGGATAGCAAATGGCCCTTCACTGAACCAGAAACAGCTTAATGCAGTGTTTCCATTCTGACAAAAATAGCGGGATGATGGGGAAGGAGAGGGTGAGAGGTTCCCACTTATCTACACAGCCAGTGTGTAGCTAGAGCTAGGTGGGATGCAGTGGCATGGTCTCATGTGTATCTCCATGGGGTCAGGGGATGGAGATCCATGTGGCAGCAAAGACACAAGGGTTACTGATGTGTTAGAAACCACAGAAGTGCCTGAGAATAGTCATGTAAAAATTAGAGCTTCTCCCCACAAAAACGTGGCAGGATCAACCCAACTGAAGTGCATCTACACCAATGCATAGGACGGGCATCGAACAGGAGGAGCTGGATGACACTGTGTAGAGGGAAAACTAGGATACAGCTGCCATCACAGAAACATGATGGGCTGACTGCCAGCTGGAGTGCTGCAGTGGATGTCCATAAATCCTTCTGAAGGGACAGACCTGGAAGGAGAGGTGATGGGGGGACCCTGTATGTGAGGGAGTGCTCTGACTGCCAAGAGCTTGATGCTGGTGACAATAGGGTTGAGTGTTCCCCCCTCTCGTGAGGGGCAGCAGAGGGGCAAGCACTGATCTCTGGTGACATGACCTGAGGGAACAACCTGGATTTGTGTCAGGGGAGGTTTAGGTTGGATATTAGGAAAAGGTTCTTCCCCCAGAGGGTTGTTGGGCACTGAACAGGTTCCCCAGGGCACTGGGCACAGCACCAGGGCTGCCAGAGCTCAGGCAGTATTTGGACAGTGCTCTCAGGCACAAGGTGTGACTCTTGGGGAGGGTTCTATGAAGGGCCAGGATTTGGACTTGGTCCCTCTGGGTCCCTTCCAACTCAGGATATTCTGTGATTTTATGAATATATTTACCCATGACCTGGATATGGGTACTGAGTGCACCCTCAGTAATTTAGAGGTTTTAGCTTTTTAACATAAAGCTGTGATGACTAGAATAGGGAAGAGAGTGGATGTAAAAGTGTGTATTTTCCCAAACTGGGCTATCAGAGGTCAGCCCAGAGCAGCAGCTGGGCTGTGGGTGACAGTGGGTGTTGGCCACTCCCAGAAAAGAGCTGTGCTGCCGTTTGGGCAATCTACCTGTGCACAACCCATCCCTTTGCTCTGGAGTCTGACTGCAGTGACCTGTGCCTGTGCAGACCCCGAGCTGAGCCCAGCTCCTCCCTGCTGCAGGAGGGGACAGCAGTGACAGGGTGAGGGGGGATTGGAGCCACCCCTATGGAGGGGAGCTGATTAAAGGAACTGAGTGCTGGGCAGTCACCTGCACCCAGGTGAGCCCAATCACCAGGTCAGGCTGCAGCTGCTCCACGCCATGCTGAGGTACACATCCCTGAGTAAGGGATGGTTGTTGCTCAGGAAACAGGCATCAGCTAATAAACCTTTGGGAAGAGTGGCTTTCAAAAGGCTTTTCAACATACAAACCATGAGCAGCACACAGAGAACATGGCTCCTTCTGAGACAAAATCCCCTTGCAGTGTACCTGTGCCACCCTGGATCAGTGCTCTGAGTATGACCTGGTAGCTGGCACACACGTCACAGCCCTGACCAGAGACTCAGCGGACTTCCTGCAGCATTCTGAAGATCACCCAGGCAGAGCACTGATGATGTGAAGGCATTAATACCTCACAGTACCAAGCTGTCACATCTTGGTATCTTGATGAGAAGATAAGAGACCAGGCCTGACATAGCATTAACAGCATGTAGGGCTGATACACCCAGCTCACCAGGGACAGAGCCACACGGTTCTACTCGGAGCCTCTGAAAGCCATGGGGCTGACGGGAGAATCCTCAGCTACCATTTTAATCCATCCATTAATATTATTATCTTAAATTTTCTCTATTCAGCAACAGCCATACTGTGGGTATGATTTCAAAAATACAGAAAGTCACAAACTGCAGAATCACCAGCCTGGCCACATAGGCACAGGCCAGCAGAAAAGACACCGTCAGATAGTTCTTGTGCAAAGCAGTAAATAAAATACACCTGAAATACAGGCCAGGCTCTGCTTAACTGACACCAGACACCATGTTTGTAGGGAGGAATGATCCACATGGAATAAAGGATGAAATAAAGAGCAAAACAATTTTCCATCTGTGCTTGGGATTGTCTCATTTAATTTAGTACAGCAGCACTTGACACACCTCCAAGTATTCAGGCTGACAGGCTCTGCCTGGTCCTCTCCCTGCCCTGCTCCTGTCTGTGCCTGTCCACCAGGATGGGCAGGGCAGCCCTGGATGCTGAGCAGTGCTCAGTCACCACTGTGTGCAGGGCTCATGTTTCTGTCAGTCCCCAGTGCATGCTGTACCTTATACTATTATTTTCCACTGTATCCAGTCCAATTCCTAGGCTGATACAGAAATACCAAACACATCCAGTCAGCCCCTTTCCCAGAGCAGGTACTAATTTCCATGGCACAGGAGCACCTACAGTGTAGCAAGCAGAGTTGCCCCTGGCTGGACAGAGAGCGCTGCAGCTTCCAGGGGCTGCTGCTACTGAGGGAAAGGGGTCAGGACTCTCCCTATCCCAGGAAGGATAAAACAACAACAGATAAAAGTTTGTCTGCAAAATGTGTCAGAGTGTGGCACAATCAACCAGCCATACTGCAAGAGCTGCTTAGCTTCCAGAGCAGCACATATTCCAGGGAATGCTCAGCACTGCCAAGCAGGGCAGCTCCTCGGCTCCACTCACCACAGGTTTTGATCTTTGCAATTAAAGCAAGGTTTGAAAAGCAACTATTCATTTCCATATGAAACAACATTTATGTGCTGGCTTTGCAAGAGCAAGGACAACTCAGTACATGTTCTTGAAGAGCCCCAAACCAGTGTCTAGAATAGAAACATGAGGAGACAGAGAATGCAGACCAGCCACCCCACAGCTGCTTTAGCTCCCGCAGCTGGCAGAGGCGAAAACAAACAGAAATTGGCTTTTTTTCTTTGTTTATGACAACATTTAAGTTTGTAGACAACAGCGTTTGCAACCCAAAGGCAGCACTAACAGCGATGCTTTCAAAACCGATGCCAGCTCTGCTGTTGCCCTGGAATTCTGTGCATTCCCAGCCGCTTTCCCCGCTGCCTGTGCATCCCCAGCCTCCCACTCCCACCCAGAGCAGGCACGTGCTGAGGGCAGGTGCTGGTGAAGGTGCTGGGCCTGGTCCCTCCACGTGCCACAGACAGATGGAGGGGGAGGACTGAATTCTCTCTCCTCCAAGCGATGTCTGCAGAGAGGCTGCCAAGGAGCAGACACAGCCAGGGCTGTTGCACGGAGCTGCCCCAAATTAAGTCCATTACATGTGGGCAAACAGACCTGGCATGTCAAGGCCCACATCTGTGGGCTTGTTTGCATTCCAGCTACTCAGTCCCTGTCTGTCTCAGGCTGGACACCTTGACATAATTACCTTTTATGTCCTGGTCTTGTTCTGACAGGAGCTCCAGGCAGTATTAACAGAGATAAAAGATCACAACAACGTAGAGAAGGAGGGATGAAGATGCCTTTAGGAAATATTTATCTTTGAGCTACTCGTTTCTATTTGAATAAAATTTGAATAGCTTTCTCTTGACAATGCCAAGTACACTGGATCATACAGAGCTACAAAATAAACCTAGGAGCATCAAAAGACTGGGAGAAGGGAAGTTCAGGAATTTCAATAAAATGGAATTTATTTTTCAGCTCTGTGACCCTAAAACAGACATTCCCTGATGAGCACCTGAA